AGAAATTCTGTCCATAAAGATAATGAACAGAACCGGTGACAAAGGGCAGCCCTGCCGTAGTGCAACATGCACTGGGAACAGGTCCGACGTACTGCCGGCAATGTGAACCAAGCTCCTACTCCGATCGTACAGGGACCGGACAGCCCTTAGAAGAGGGCCCCCGACCACATACTCTCGGAGCACCCCCCACAGAATACCACGAGGGACACGGTCAAAAGCCTTTTCCAAGTCCACAAAACACATGTGGACCAGTTGGGCAAACTGCCATGAACCCTCAAGCACCCTGTGGAGGGTAAAGAGCTGGTCCAGTGTTCCACAACCAGGACGAAAACCGCATTGTTCCTCTTGAATCCGATGTTCAACTATCGGACGGATTCTCCTCTCCAGTACCCTGGAATAGACTTTAACGAGAGGCTGAGGAGTGTGATCCCCGATAGTTGGAATATATATATATATACTCCTTTTTTGAAAAGAGGCACCACCACCCTGGTCTGCCAGTCCAGAGGTACTGTCCCAGACTGCCACACGATGCTGTAGAGACGTGTCAACCAAGACAGCCCCATAACATCCAGAGACTTAAGATACTCAGGGCGTACTAGGGTACTCATTCTGCAGATATTATCTTCTTAATTGACCTAAAAAAAGAATTTAAAATAGATCTTTCTAGTCTAGCACTGCAGACACAGAGCACAGCACAGCACACACCGTACTGCACCCACATGACAAGGTGAAATGTCTCTTTTATCAGACTGTTGTTATGTGTAATCTAACTGTCACACATTAACCAAACATAAATATACTCCTACTAAAACACTTGCATTTAATTAAGCCATTCAATTATGGATCAATGTGCAATTATGGATTAAATGTCATGTTTATGACATTTTGCACAGAAAAGGCAAAAAACACATTAAGTGAACTTCTTGTCATTGTGACACTGCATACAACCAAATGTTTTTAACTCATCACCAAAGTGAACAGTGGGCAGCTTTAAGGGGAGCAGTGAGTGGGGACGGTGTCATGCTCAGAGCACCTCAGTGGTAATTTGGCAGCTGCTGGACTCAAACCTGAAACCTTCCAGACCCAAGTCCGCTTCCATAACCACTAAGCCACCACTGCCCCATTAAAATAACAAGTAACTGTTGGCATGTAACATTTCTGGTCATTTCCAGCCCAATTACCATTAAAGCATTTGAACATGTTAGTAGTTTTTCAGAAAATTATCAATCTGAACCCAGATCAGTCCGATAAGGGAACATCACATTGTTTTGTTCTCATGTTTCACACTAGACCTGGGCAAATTTAGTTCTAACGGTTTTGCTTTCGAGACGCTTTTAAACTGCTAAAGAATTGGGGTGAGGTGTCATTTTCTTCCACCTTCACCTCATGCCTTTGCCCAGGTCTACTCCACACTGATGTGGGTACCTTCTGAAGACATGCGTTTGGGCAGAGTGGAGGCTGCAGAGCTCGGCCCATGGTGGGAAAAGGAAGAGGAGGAGGAGGAATAGGAGGGGTAGGATGAATGAGAAGGAGGCCTGGAAGGTCGAGAGGGGGGTCTGGAGGGTGGTCTGGTGGGCGTGGTCGCCCGAGGAGGCAAAGAGGAGGGGCCAGACTGGTAACGAGAGGGGGGTCGGGAGGAGGGAGATGGACAGGGTGAGGGCCAATGAGATGAACCTAAAAGAGGGGAGGACAAAAGATCAAGTATGGACAAACAGTTTCAGTGAGAAAAACTAAAGTACAACGGAAACTGGTAGAAGGTCATAAAATAAGACAGAGAGCAGGGACACGAGGTATTAAAAAGATCTCACTGATACGAAGTAAGTACAAACAAATAGAAAGATTATAATAAAAAAAAACCTTAAAACATGAAACAACACCTAAGGAAAAGTCACCTCCTATTTTACATTATCATGAAACACACTTTCCTACTCATCAACACAAGTTCAAGAAATGTAACACAACTGTACGTGTGAGGTACTTAAACATACCTCCATTGACAACCCTCTGGTCAGCCCCAGAGTTGGAGCTGTAGTCATGAGGACCGGGTCGAGGAGTCGAAGGTCCGATCGAGCTCTGAGAAAGACGAGGAGAATTCTGTCGTCCAGGCCCCCATGACATTCCCTCCCTGTTTCTCTGACCTGGGGAAAAGTATTCTCTGCAGATGCATACAAGAACAGAACAACAAAGACAGAGGTTGAAGGAAACTATATCAAATACTAACAAGGCAGAATAAAATAACTAACATCTGTCAGAAGGAGCGAGCACAGGTCCTTTCATTGTGAGAACTGTTTTATTAGCTTTTACTCACCTTCAAGCCTTTGCTGCTCATGCCAATCAGCAACACTAATATAAGTTCATTTCGTTAACACAAGACAGTGGAGTGTAGACAGTCAGGAGAGAAAGAGCTGATAATTGTGTAATGTAGGAAATGTATCATTCATTCACATAACTGAATCAAACATCTCCAATGAAGATACATAGAATTATATATAGTGTATATAGTATATAGTGTACTATATACTATGCAGTATATAGTACACTATTGGAGGCAGTGGTGGCTTAGTGGTTAAAGAAGCAGACTTGGGTCTGGAAGGTTGCAGGTTCGAATCCATGAGCTACGTCCCCACTCATTGCTCCCCCTTAAAGCTGCCCACTGTTCATTTTGGTGATGGGTTGAATTCAGAAGTCACATTTGGTTGTGAGCTGTGGTGTGTATCACAATGTCACAATGACAAGGAGTTCACTTTCCTTTCCTACTATAGTAGTATAAAGTAAGGCATAGCACAGTTTATGTTAATGCAACACCTATGGGATAGATCAAGCCTTAATGGTTTAAAAAATGTTGCATGCTAACATGCTTTAGTATAATGTAGTGTAGTATTTTTAATATTGAACAAGTCCACCCTTAAAAACATAATTAAAATAGTATAGTATAATATAGCATAGCTATAGTATAGTATAGTGAATGTTACTGTAATGCCTAAAACAGGGGTGTCCACACTTTTTTGTCTTGTTTTTGTCTTTTCAAATTACCAGGTATATATATTTACTCATATAAACTGAATATCTTATTATATACATTATATGTTATATACATTATACTGTCTGACGCAATACTTTTTGATCCTTAACTAAGCCGTAGTGATTAGCATATTAAAATAGAATTACATGTATAATTTTTTTTTATTTTTGTAATTGGTCAGGATCTACCAGCACTCCCTTTGAGATCTACTGGTAGATCCCAATCTACTTATTGGGCACCTCTGGCCTAAAAGAAAAATGCACCGTTAAAAGGACTGTGTAGTTAGTATAAAGTATAGTTCAGTACAGTATTTTTAGGAAAAAATGTGTGTAGTTGTGTCTGTATATGTACAGTGACAAACATAGCTGCATAAGAGTAAATGTTACGACGTGAAAATGTTTCATGTTTTTTAAATTGACAGCAGAATATTACTGTTCTTTTACTCAGACAATTCTATGGTCACTATAAGCACTTGAATAATGACAGAAAAAACAAGAAAAAAAACACAATTTGGAGGTATTCACTCATCCTGTCTTTGGACTTTGTCTCCAGGTCTCACCTGCTACTCAGTGTGTGAGTTTCCCTTTCCCCTCGAGCCACAGCAGTATATTTCTCCTCCTCTGACCGCTCGTCATTCTCCAGGGCTGCACGTGCCTTGTACGAAGCACTGGCCTCAATCTCCTCTGCCAGTTGGGCAGCACGCGCCTCCCTCTTGAGGAACTCCTCAGAGTTGTCTCGCTCCAGGGGGACCCTGGGAAACAAGCTCAGGATAAGACAATACTCTGCATGGTAAAAATGGTCAAAAACATACATTTCTAACTCTGTCTGTGGGTTAAAATATATAATCGTCATTGATTTGATGATTGTGTATAGTTAATTAGAATTTTTTAACTGTTAACTACATCTTTAAAAATGGGAGTTGATAAATCTGCGCTTTAAGCATTAATTTTTTGTCTTGAGTTTGAGTTGTTAAAAAAAAAAAACATAAACTAAAGTCATAAAATGTGCAATAAAAGAACACTTCTTTTCGTACTTTCCAAGTATCATATATATCATATACACTTATATCATATAAGTACAGTATATGTATATACTTTCCTGTTTAAAAATGAATTTATTACTTAAGGGACAATGTCCTATAGTTAGTTCAGTTAATTTTACTTTGCAGTTCAAATGGCTGTCAAAAAAACCAATGGTGTTAAAATTAATTTGCATCAACATGTTATCATTGTGATAATGTTGGAAACCCTTTTTTAAAATAGCACTTGATTTTAAATACTTATTTCACATCAGTACAAAGAGGGACTCACATTCAAAGTAAAAACTTACGTATATGTGGACAGGCTGCTGTCGTATGTAGACAATACTCCGTACTTCTCCTCATTGTACTTGAACATGTCATTGGGGTCCCACCCATTTGACTGATATAGAAAAAAACAGAAAAATGTTTACAGCTTACGTTTGTGTGTTTACCATTTTTAGTACCCATAGACCTTTACACAGTTCATAACAGAACACAGTTACATATAAATGATTAAAAAAGAACTGTTCATTTCCAAGTAATTGGTTAAATATTGATGAGTAGCTCAAGTTCTTTTCTCTGAACAATGTTAAAATAAATAAATAAATAAATACATTTCTGCAGTCTTTACCAGAACAAAACTGTGGTCCAGGAATCTAGTATAATTTCAATACCTCACTGATAGTCATTATACTGTCAATATTACAATATTGCAACAATGCATTATTCAGTGATGCATTACTGCTCGCTGTTGCTCATAAGTGAAGCATATTTTTTGTGTTTGTGTGTTAGTTACCACATCAGTGTCCAGAGACTCTAGGCTGTCGGAGATGTGGGTCTCTCCTCCGTCCCATGGCTCCAGATCTTTCTCTTTGTGCTCACCATTGATCCTTCCACCCACTGCTGCATCTGTGAAGTTATCTGAGATGCACACAAATCGGATGACACGTATTTAGGTGCAATTACTGCGACGCACAAACACACACATGTACAACAACAGCAATAGAAAGTCAAGCATTTAGTCACACATAGTTGTTCTTTCACTGTTTATGCAGGGAAGCGCTCATGCTCCCAGAGCTTCTGCCACAAGCTCCGACAGTGATTTTGTTTTTCTTAGATGGATGGTTTTGGTGTTACAGCAGGCACACCCACACAAAACCAGACATGAGTTAAACTGGTTTGGGAATATTCCTTTCAAAAACATTGGAGCTACAGCTTAAACTGGCCTGGGTGAAGCTACAGAAGATAAATGGTTCTGTCTGAACAAAGTCAGGGAGAGAAGATCTTTGCATACGTTTTAAATTTAGGATTCAGGATATACCACTTAAAAAGATGATGCGCTACAATACTTCACAACTGAACAAACAAAACATCACTTCACTGTTGAAACCTATAATTGTAATATTACATAACTTGGTACCCTTCCTAAACATGGAATACAATAAGTACTAAAAAAAAGGTTAAATGTGTTCATCATTATAAATTATAAATAAATGGACAACACTCCAGAAAGGTTGAGAGAAATAAGTTAGCTGACTTTTGGCTGACATTTGCACACGTTTGCATATTCAGCAGCAGTTTCTGCATTGGCCCTCATTTCTATTGGCTGCGGTAAAATTCTTCAAATCCTTTAGCGGCAGATTGTGACTGGTCTGAAGTTTCTACTTTCTTGCACTGACAACAAGAACTAAATAGTAAGGCCATGAACACTGATCGTGTACAAAGACCCAATCTAAAAACACAAAGTAGTTACGAGATTGAATGCTTAGTCAAGAACTCCCAACCTGAATATTTGCTTTGTGACATTTTCTGTTTTATTTCTCTATGTTCCAACATTTTTGAAATGTGATGCATCATATACTAAACTTTAATATGTTTAATAAGTAAACTTCTTTTTAGGTTACTAAAATTGGAACATAAGGATTTATATTTGTAATCACTAAAGAGGAAATAAAAACAAAATAACATGAACCAACATCATGAATATTTGCACATTAATTGTTTATTAAAAATAAATTAAAAAAAGAGTGCTGCTTTTTTACACCCCTAATAATTCAGTGGATAATTTAGTGAGCCCCACTAAACCCAAAAACAGGCATTCTTACAAAAAAACTTAATTCAAAAAGAAAAGTAAACTCTAGGTAGAATCAATGGACACAAGGAATATCAGCCACTAGCAAGGAAATTGTTGAGCCATCCCATTTCACCTCATTAGACATAGAGCACTAGCATTTATACCGATTGGCCTACATGAGTAGAGATGTCTGATAGGCTTATTGTCTATGAAGAGAAATAAATAAAATCAGACAAATGTCAGCAGAGTGATGGATAAGCAATTTTAAGGATAAGCACTCAGAAATAAAATTGAGGAGCTAATGTTAACAGGATTTTTTTTAAGTGCAAACCAATCAAATCCAATCACAAAGAGAATGTATCGCTTTCCCACTGACATCTCATTCTGAAGGAAAATAATGTGCTGAAAACAGTACTTAATGACTGTTGGATTAGACCTAATGTCTGTGTGACCTGATCAGACATATACACATGTCATGGATAAGAGGCAGATACTGAGTAATACAGAAAATTATATAATCAAATTATTTTGAAAGGTGCAAGACTGATTTTCAAAAATTGAAGAACATACTGTTAGGGATGTAACACTATCAAAATATACTGTTATATACAGTAATTTTGTAATAATAAAGGCCAAGGTGAAATGAAGAATTTAATATTTTGAAAGGAAAACATAGAGCTCTCGGTAACTGGTGATACTTTGTATCAGGGTTATCATGACCTGCATACCAATACTGAATGTATTTAATTTAAATCCATCAATCTAGTGAACTTTGAGAAGCACAAACTGTGTGTATATAAAAATGTGTATTACGTACACGCTATCTTCTCTTGAAGATTTAATTATCCTCTGCTCAGAAACATCACTGTACCGATAACAAAGGAGTTAAACCATAAAAGATATTTTAAAACCCAGCAGGTAGACAGATTTCCCCCCTCACTGTCCACTGCTTTCCCTTCCGGCTTTAGGTTGTTGTTAAGCTTGTGAAGTATTGCTGTGAAGTTGTGAAGTACACACAACAATCAACAACAGCCTCCACCGTATTGGTATTTTATAACAAGAACAGAGCAGGGAACAATGGGTCCACACGGAACAGTAGCCTTTTAGTCCTCACTTCCCTTCACATTCTTCTACAGTTGCTAAAACAATTCACCAGTTTTGGCTCGGACGTCCCATTAAACCTTTTTTGTTGCATGTCCAGAACAATACGAAGACACTTTTGTTACTGTTAAATCACACATTTTGACATTGTTACATCCCAAACTGTTATTTTCAGACAAAAGTTAAATGAAAAATGTTTTTACCTGCATCAGAGGTGACTAGTCCATTGGAGAGAAGAGACAAATGACAAATGACAGAGTCAAAAAAACAGACTGACAGAATGACTGGTGATCACACCAACAGTTCCCTTTATTCAGCATGTGAGTGAGATATCTACTTTATATTATTTATGTTGTAACAGGTTCCCAACAGGCTTTGATTTCTGCGATTATGTATGTTTTTATTTAAATCAATATATTATTAAAAGAGCATTAAACAGCAGAGCTGATATCAAATCACTTGAGATAGCTGCCTTTTTTACATTGTAGTATAAATCACTAATTTTGGTTGCCAGGACAACCTGCAGGCCACTGTAATTAATAAATTGTTTTAAAACCACTGAACAAGGAGCAGCTGTTCAAGTTTAAACTTTATTACATTAAATACAATTAAAAAAAGGAAAATGATGTACATTTAAACAAATGCAGCCTAGACAGTTGGTATTGAAAGACCCTATTCATTAACCTTGTTCAGAGCTCTCAACACAAATGTTTTTATTTTTTACCTTTCTTGGCGAAACTCAGGTCCACATCTTTGAAGGTCACGACCACAACATCTGAGGCCTTGAAAATGATGCTCTCCACAATGTCCTCTTTCCTGGGGCCTATGGTGAGCTCTGGGCTCTTTCTGTGGGCTGCATCCAACACCAGGTCACACTGGCGGAAAGAGAGTTGTTTACATTAAGGAAGCATGTGAAATATACTCCAAGCCCAGTATATCTACAGAAAATATTATAGATGTAGAGAACATGTAGAACTGATGTTGTTACTATTGTGTAGTGTACTTTGATCAAATATTTTATTTTAATCAAACAAGGAGGATATTTCCTCAACAAAGCTGCGAGTTACAATAGGACTTTCAATGCACTGCAACACTGAAGAAAATCTCAAACTCTGAAACCAGATATTTTTCTTACCAGGCAAGGGTGTACAAAAGGGAGGGTGCACTCAGCTGGGTGAATATTTCAGCATGTTTGACTGTTCAGCTTGCGCAAACAGTGATAATAGAAGCCAAATGTGATACTTGGTATTGGTCTTAGAATAAACTGGTATTTTTTGTCTGCACAGACACACTAATTTCATTTTCTTCTGCACTACTGTGCCATAAAGGATATGGTGGTGAATAAATAATAAATTAACACAACTGCCATTATGTTACAAGTAATGTCTTCTACTAGCATTGCACATTTAACGGAAATTAAAACAGCTTCACTGGACAGAAATTTTCACCCATGTCAGGTTAATCTTTTTACTAACAACAGTAAGGTTTCACCCAAAGGCAAAAAAATGTAAACTTTATATTGACCAAAACAAAAACAGGAATGCAGCAGTGCGTAATTGCAAAATAGACTGGTTTGTTTTCTGTCTAGGTCACATCATGGGTGAAGTTGCGATTGATGGAACACCTTTTAAAAATATTACACCGAATGTCATCCTTACCTCAGGACCATACGTTTTAAAGACTCCTTCGTAGACTGCTCCATTTTTTACTTTCAGCTCACAGTTGGTCCCCTATAAATAAATAAATAAATAAGCTTAAAAAAAAAATCACACAAGCTTTGTTTGTTGTCGCGCAGACATTTTGAGGAAACAGCATGTGGTGTAGGACAGACTGCAGCACAACTGCTGTTACTATCTAATTTACATTAAGCATGATTCACATCAATGTTTCAGCCAAGGTTTTTACAACCATTAGGAAAACCAATTTTATTGGAAATTTAATAAAAACAGAAGATACTGAATACATTTGAAACATAATTTTGAAACCATAATACAATGGACACTTAGCAAACATACCACTACAGAAGTCAAGACATGGACCATCCTCATATTTGCATAGATCCCATTGAAAATGACCTGAAGAAGAAAAAAAGGATATTCAGTTTTTAATGTTTTACTGTTTGCAAAAAAATGTTATTTGGTTTAAAAGCCAGTGTGCATGTATTCTGTTCTGATTAATAAACAAATGCAGGCATGCCACATAAACAATACACTAGTTTACACTACACTGCTCTACATGACCAGAATAAAGCATTGTGTTCCTATACAGGTTACTAGATGGTTGCTGTTCAAAAATAACTTTAGCAAAGAGGTAGAAACAACCATAGATGCCTACAGGTGTGTGGGTATCTACAGGGGTGTCTCCTTGTTAATATTTAGTGGTCTACTTACTGCTGCAGGACCTTTACCACTGTGTCTTCCCCTGAAAGGGAAAATAGCATTGTCAGACCAGCCATAATCATTAGAAGTGGATTCCTAGCTTGCATTCTGAAACAAAGTGCTTCCCAGAAACCTCTTGAGACAGTGGTATACATTTCCAAAACACTACACAACTGTAGTTGCACATTTAACACAGGGAGTTCCCGTGCTCACAGGCTGAGCATGTCTAAAGAAGCAGAACATCTAGGAGCACAACATAGTCATCAGGCTTGAGGCACATTACATGTTACAGATTCTGTAACCTGTCTGTTTACATTTTGAAAATACAATATGAATAAATAGAGATTAATGTTTTTCATCTCTGTGAATAACTTTTGGGTTTATAGCTACCTCATCAATTTAATTTATTTCTATATATTTGCAACATGAAAATGTTTCATCTGCCATTCAGTTTTACGTGAGACTGATGTTTAAGACATGTCAGCATCCACAGTAATTTTATAATTTCTTCTATTCAGGCCTCCAGCACTTGACATGTCAAAATCAAGCAACTGACAGAATGAAGAAAAAAATCAACATGCAAAACAGTCACAAAAACATATTAGTGAAAGACAGGTGTATCAGCAGATCTAGAACCATAGATACAAATTCACTGAATATCATTATAAAAATATATTTCTCGAAAAGAAGTATATTTTTGGTACATTGGTTGTGAATCTCTCTGCAGCTCATTGTTATTAAAACATCTAGTTGCACGAATTCCAAACATATTTATAGTGAAAATTTACCACACATTCCAATACAACTCCAATTCAGAAACTTTTCATTGATATGCTGAAATCGTGTTAGAATGGTGTGCAAGTTGCTGCCAGGCAAATACTCTGTAGCCTACATTTTTTTCAAGCATGTCCTAAAATGCACCTTGTTCAGCAGCTGGCACAGGGCCAGACATTGACCCTGGATTCGCTGTATGCAAAGCCCACTTCTACTACATTATATTCGTTTCAAATGGAGAATGACGGTGTTTAATGCACAGATGTAATAACGAAAATAAGCATTTCTTCATGAAACTAAACGATTTGGATACATGACTCGGGGTGGTTCATTCTTATCTTTGTATGATCGGTATAGAAGAAATCTACGCAATAAATGGACATGGTGTCCTAGTGACCGGTGAATGGAAACCTGACCAAATTTAAACTAACTAAAACCCACAATATGCATGTAGCTCATGCACAGACAGTGTGGGTTTCAGCTTCATGTCGAGACAGACAAGTACAGAAATACGTATCATATTTCAAGGACATAATTCCACAGAAACAACCACGACAACGTCGCTTTACAATCCCCCTTCTCCTACTCCTTATCCCCGGCCCCACACCCGCCCCTTTATTCCCTGCGCCCACACACGTTTCTTTTTTTCTTCTTCTTTTTTTAACAAATATCTTGGCAATGTCATTGCAGCAATGTTGCGGTAACGCAACGAGCTCCACGCAAGTCAAATAGAAGCACACACAGTTTGTTTCATTAGGCTGGAAAGTGTCCAGGCTGTCCTGCAATGAAGCACTGCATAACAAGCCTGGACTGTCAAACGGCTAATTGACTAATTCATTCTAAGGTCTTACAATGAACGTGGCGCCATCAACACTGACATTCGGATTCAAGGCTGCACACATGTTTCAATATCAGTGACAGGGTGACGTGCAAGTGGTGTAAACGATCATCATAAGTTGCAATATTGCTGGAAGACAGAGGCCTCGCTAGCCAAACCTGCATAACATTACATTACAGTGGGTGACCATCACGTCGTAAGGCCCGCTTTAACATCCACAACCACTTACATCTTCTAGACCATTTATCCAGGATGTCATCTCTGAAATAAGCCACCAAATGAATAGTATGTGTCTGCATATTAAAATGCCATTGCAAAGACACTCATTGGATTAATTTAATTCCACTACATTAAAGTTAAATAAGGTGACAGACCTGCCCAGATTCGGTCTTCCCCCGCTGTTTCCCCCAGATCCAGAGGCAGGGGTACCAGCGGCGCTGCCACCGCCGGGTTTGCTTCGATTTCCACCGGCCTTCATTGACATAGTGATCCCATAAAAGACGGTGTCTTAAAACGACTAGCTTCACGCCGCAATTTCTTGTCGACCGGACGGCGTGTGCCTGTGTGACAGCTCGCTAATGTTAACGCAGGTTAGCTGACAGGCTAAAGTCAATGTGCCTCCTAAAGGGAGAAGGCTGTGCTAACAAGCTAGCGGACTACTAGCGCACTTAGCAACTTGTACAATTGGTATTAAAACAAAAAATATTAAAGATTCTTAAAAAGACAACGCGAGCCAATCACTCCTTCTAGAGAAACATGAGCGCTAGACGGCGTGTCAATGTATTTACGACTTTCAAACGTTAAGTTAAATGATCTCAAAATAGGCTTTGTTGCTATCTCAGGTTGTTCCCGTTGCTAACAGCAAAAAGACCAAAACAGTCTGAAAGCGGACAAAAAAATAGCGGAGGGATATGGGAAAGGCGGAACGAGTTATGGTTACTCATCAAAATCCCCATATCTTCACTGACAACCAAAACTTAAAAACGGGAGAAATTTGTGGACACATGTATTTTCAAACCGCCAATATTTACAACCTGATATTTGTTATTAGGGTAGAATGCACACACAACATGGAACTATTTTCAGGAAGTCCGTGAAATCTCAATAGGTGTTTCTTGGCACCCACGTGAGCCGGCGAACACAACACACAGAAGTTGCGCACACCAACACCATGGTATTTACATACTGTGACTGCACGTGTGTAACAGCAGAAGAATTTAAACATATTATCGCTACCAAGAACACGTAGAAAGTAAATAGGATGTTCCGTTCAGATTGTTTCAAAAAAGTGGTTGGACTTCGACTAATACAATATGAGTGTGACTTAAAACGCCAGAAAAAATAAAAATTTCTACTTTTAAAAATTTAAAAAATTAGTTAATGGAGTTCGAAAGCAGTCCTTCGAAAAGGGTTTTTATTTTTGACCAGATATTCAAAGTAATGTTTTATAATATGGATTATAAAAACATCGAAATAATAAGATATATAATAAATATTTTAGAATATTCTACAGCGATTTGAATGGGCCAATTACCGTGTAAACACTAAATGTTCACTTTTCCGTTCGACAACGCAAAGCATGTATATCTGTCCTTAAATAAGCCTTTGGTAAGAAACAATGTGTTAACTAGAGTTAAGCTATCGGAAAAACCGCTGCCATTCGCACACCATGGCCACCAATATGCATCTGGCTAATGTCACGTTTAATTGCCGGTCCGCTAAATTGGCAATTAAGGTGGACCCAGACAACTGATAAAGACATTAACCTACGTATAAACGTTTATTGATCTTTTCCATTGAGATTTTATTTTACAATTAACTTATGTTTAATTTAGGACTCTACAGATAAAATAAACTTAGCATTTGATAAGACAGTTTGCATCCGTGGAGTCGTCGCAACCCAACCCTTTAAATACATGGAGGGGCCTTAGAAGGACCTGTCATTGTATGTCCGTTCTAAGGTAATACATTAAATATACAGTACGTTCAGATTTACGATGCTCAACTTCACTTTATTTTGACTAACGAGTATTATAAACGTATGTATCTGTTGATATAAATGTTTATTTAAAGAAAACACACAAAATGTAATTGAATAAACTATTTTTTCTATATTTTGCAAGGCAATATCCTCTGACAGCTACTGCGTAGTGCCGACTCGGCTTGTGTGTTAGTGTAGCTACAAACTGTGATTAGTACAATTGCCAATATAAGCTTGTATGTCTTTATTACATTTCAGAAGTCGTTCCCATTCACCATTGATAAAGCTGGAATACTGGCATTTTACATTACGAATGCTAACCGGAATGCTGCTACTTACAGCTACTAAAAGATAAACGGAGCTAACCTGCTAAGTCTAGTAGCTCGATACCGCATAACATACTTTTGGCTCGACGACAAAATAGACCGCTGCTGTGTTTTGGGGAACACTGTGTGGTTAAAGGGACACCTTTAAATCAATGCTTATGACCGACGGCACAGGCCAGAATCGCGGGCTTTCTCCTGTGCGGTTTTTTCACTGAGGTTGCCTTTGCGGTGCTGCCAATCCACCTAGATCGTGGCAGTAGTAGTTTGCTAGTAGCTTTTAGCCGGTCCCTTGTGTGTTCGCAGCATTAACACAACGCTGCTCTCGTCTTGCCGGCTAAAAATACACTTCTTGTCCTTAATGCCCGTCCAAAAGTGGTGGCCTAGTCCATGACGGACTTGTTCTTTGTTTTTCTGATCAAACTGTTGTAAGTTTGTACATGGTTACCACCGTCCGTTCAATACGACTGGAAGAGCGAGTGGTACTCCGATGCGGTGAGGTGAGCTTGTCGGCTCCAACGATACCTAAACCCAGCTTGTGGACTTCAGATCTGTGGCTATTCAGTGGCCAGACACATTCTGTCCTAATGGCAGCGTCTCGTTATCAGTAGTTACGTAAAAACATTTAGTCCAACCTCGTGTTGGAAGACTGGTAACTTTGTATCTGCGCTTTGTATCAGCGCTTTGTCTTTACTATCAACTGGCAAGATAGGCTCGATCTGTCCTGAGGACACGATGTCGGAGGACAGCAACGCAGACAAGTTCATAAAGGTAATCTGAATATAACAGTTATACGTAATTTGATTTTATAATGTTTTTGTACATCACTTTTGCTTGATCGTGTACTCATACTACGTGTACAACTTCACATTTTTACAACCATATGCCTTTGTTACTTAAACTTTGATTAGCTTTGTTGTCCTCGTTTCCTCGTTAGTGTCTTTCGTGTGTTTGCTGCAGGTGTGGATAATGAGCTGCTATTGTGACGTGAAGACAAGAACAAACGATTCTTGATTTTCTTTAAATTTGCTTAACCCCCAAACAGAAATATGTGAATCATTAATTTTGTGGCGCTGAAAGTTTTGTCTTTGATGAACTTTACTGTGGTTCCTTGTTCTGGCTGTATCCGGTGGCAGCAGGTTCATGGTTAATATTTCTATTTGTCCTGGCACTGGAAGTTGTTCTTGGTTTGTTGTGTCAGAGAAAGCATCAATTATGTGACCACAGTAAAATGTGATCTCAAGTGGCCCCTGGACCGAACGTTCACAGTTGGGAGTGAAGTATCTATTATAATTACATTCTGGAACACATTGATGTCATGCTGTGAGTCAGGAAGAAAATCAGTGGTGTTTATACGTGTAGCTTATGTTGGTGGCAAAAATCAATCATCAATTTAACAAAGGACTTGCGAAATGTTCCCAGAAAGGGGGTAATTCTCAGTGTTGTTTTTTTTTTTTCAAACAGCTTTAGCTGTTTTGCATAACTGCGCTACTTTAGAGTTAAGCTCTGAAATAAAGTACATGCTTTATTAACTGAGCATGCAGTCAACATACATGATAACAGCTCAATTAGGTTCAATTAACATGGCAGATGTAATTGACCCAACTGGTTTGCTAGACCAAGTAATGTAAACAATGCCAGGGATAAAGGAAGTCAGATCCTCAGATGATACTGCAGTACAAACCCGTGTCAGCTCGTGCAGTACTGCCTCTCTCTATTCTTTCAGTCAAGAACAACCCACAGATGGTGAACTTGCTTTTTAAAGAAAGACTGTAATATACTCTTTGGTTTCCGTTTTCAACAGGAGTCGTCAATTCTGGACGAGTACAACATAAACTGGACACAGAAGTTAGGGGCTGGGATCAGTGGGCCTGTCAGGTGAGTTCACATGTACCTGCAGAGACAATCTGAATATTCACAGAATAGCTGTCAATTCATCATGATTAATTGTAATTAGTAACAATTAATCTGTGAAACCTCTAGGGTTGCAACTAAAGGCCAGGCATCAAATTAATGACCAATTATTTACTTAGCTAGTCAATGGTTGTCATTGACTACGTTTTTGTTCAATAAAACGAACGGTCTACTTCTGACAAACCACAACTTATTCTTATCGATTGCTCATCTTCAACACCAGCCCAAGTGAGTTTGGTTTGTTGACATGAAATACAGAAGTATCATTATAATTATTTCTGCCTAATACCTACAAAGAATCCATCAAAAAAAGTCAGGAAACATCCTTTATGTTAAACAATGTACAAACAAGCAAACTACGTTCTGAGAAGCAGCCATCAGACGGAAGGTTCTAGTTAATGCCTGAGGTTCCATGTCATCAATAAACCTCAGCCTGCCTCCTTTTGCTGTCTCCTCTCCGATTATTTACACTTAAAGACGGTGGCAGTGATATTAGAAAATAAATAAAAAAACACAGACACAGAATTCCATAAACTGTAAATATTATTTTTTTAATTCATGAACTGAAATGAACTCAGGTATTGAATCCAAAGGATTTGGACTCAAAGCATTTTAAATTAACATTTAATTTTGCTGGTAATTGAATCAGCAAATCAGCATGCTCTCTAAAAAGCCCAGACCAGGACTCAGAGATGAGTACACATCTGTTGTTATCTCTCCATATGAATGTCTGCTGTATGTCCTGAGACCTTACTAGTACTGTATCAACACAACATTACTAAATGTTCGTAGTAGTACTGTAGCTGTTCCACTGGCTCTCTCTGTGCTCTTAGGAGATTCTGTCTGTGTTGGCAGCCTGTTATTTACTGTGTGAGCAACGTGGCCAGGTTGAGCAAGGTCACAGTAATATTTTCGAATTTGTCTTCAGCTTTTCAGACATAACTACTCCAAAATATCCTTGTATAACATTTTTCTCTTATCATCAAGTCTGTGTATTTCTCTGACTTGGCAGTTGGAATTCACTCAGTTACATGTCTGGCTGTGATTCATTAGGTACACGTTGCTTTCCACAGAAGTGAACTTTGGCCACTGCTGAATGTTCCTCAGACTGGTTTTAATAGTGTAATCTGAGTTTAAGGGCCAGACGTTACAGCTTCACAGTGGATATTTGCTGCTCACAGGAGGGGAAACAGGAGGAAATGAGATTGTCAGAAGATTTAAATGCAGGAAAAGTGGGGAGGTAGTGTTTCTATTTTACCACCAGAGTGAAATGTAGTAAGAACATACTGTACTCCTTTGTCAGTCTATCTCCAACCACTAGCTTTTAATTCTTACCGATTGAGAGCAATAAAAGAAGCTGGGGTGAGTTTAATCTGACACTGATGGGAGACAAGGGACATCGTGGTCAGGCCAACAGTCAATCACCGGGTCAGCAAGCAGCAGTTAGCAACCATTTACCTACACAAACACAAGCATATGCATTGGGCCAGTTCACATTCACCACGTACTTCAAGTACTTGGTCCAGTCTGTCTGTCCTTCAGAAACATTTTAGTTCTTAGTAATGTCAAATAAACCAGATGCTGGAAATATTTCTCAGAGACTTGGGTTTAGATGTAAAGGATAACAACAAACTGATGCAGCAGATTTGTGGTGATTGCGTGGGTCATTGAGGTCAAGCGTTCTGTTCAATTATACCATTTTTGCTAACATTTTAACATTGTTGCACAATGCTATAATAAATTGTTTAACAACGTTGAACGAAATTTTCGGCCTTTACGTGGAATCCACCTTCTTTGAATTCTCAGCTACTCCTGAGCAATGCACAACTTAAGTTTCTTGTCTGTTTCCTTTTAATTAAACTCGAGGGTCTAATCTGTTAGCAGAAACCTTTCCAAAACAGCAACTTGGATTTGAATAAAAAATGTTTGTTATACATCAGTAGAATTTACTTAAAGTGAATTTCTCTGTCACTTATTTTAGATTTAAGTGTCAATAAATAGCAATTGGCTCCTGGCTCCTCTGCCTTGACATGTTTCAATTGTTTATTGTTCTTGTTTAGAGTTTGTGTGAAGAAATCGACTCAGGAACGGCTGGCTCTGAAGATCCTCATCGATCGCCCTAAGGCCAGAAACGAGGTGAGAGGAAATCCTGCCACAGTTGTTAATTAACCCTTTTATCTCTGCTTGGAAATAAGCTGCGCTCTGTGTGTTGGTCCATATTCATTCATATTCAGTCTGTTTGGGCTTTTTTCTCGGTGACATTGCAATGAACAGTTTGTCTCACAGTCTCTCTGTTTCGTTAACAGCCTTCTGTTTTGATTAAACAGCACGGTTAGCTGTTACACTGTGACACAACAGCAGTCAAAACACACAACATTGACTGGTTTCACACACGAGCTCTGAACACTGAGCTGTTGAACGCTGTCATCACAGCCACACATGTTTGGTTTCACAAAATTAACTATTAAGCACATGGGTGATAAAAAAAAAAGATTTGTCCACTGCTGTCTGTGTCATGTTCTGCACAGGTGCGTCTCCACGTGATGTGTGCTCATCATCCAAACATTGTGCAAATCTTAGAGGTGTACGCCAACAGTGTCCAGTTTCCACATGAGTCCAGTCCAAGGTAAAAAAAAAAAAAGTTTAAAAATTCATAAACATCTTGTGCATTTAAAAAAATAAAATAAAATCACTTGCTTATGCACAGAGCTAGGCTCCTGATTGTCATGGAGATGATGGAAGGAGGTGAGCTGTTCCACAGAATCAGTCAGCACAGGCACTTTACTGAGAAGATGGCCAGCCAGGTCACCAAACAGGTTAGTGATGACACACATGACACATATGTGTCACCTGAATGACCTTTTAAAAAAAAAAGTTAAAATGTCTGCTGTTTCAGCTAAAAAGTAAGTTACTTCTGTTAGGTCTGTAGATTCTTTGTTCTTTCTTAGTGTTTTATAACTGCAGTAAACATATACATGTGAGTTACATAGTCAAGAGGAAACAAAGTGGAGATGAGGTTAAATGTGGGCCGATGAAACTACTTTTAACCACATCCACCTTCAGAAAAGTCTGACTCCTTTCTGTTCCTCCTGCAGATCAGTCAGGCCCTGGAACACTGTCACTCCTTAAATATTGCACATCGCGACTTGAAGCCAGAGAACCTGCTCTTCAAGGATAACTCTTTAGTAAGTGACTATAACAGTGTAGTAAAAAGAACAGTGTCTCTGCACCTCGGCAACATTGAATCTTTGTAGAATTTCCTGGTACATTAGTCACAAAGAGAAAACTGTTTAACATTTGCTGGCTGTTTAGAAGAGTGGGTTCACTGGCTTAACTACAAATGTAGACAAGTGGAGCTCGTCCTTTACAGACTCTTGTCGAAATAATAAAATGGATTTGGAAGTATCCGGTCTCCATTTACAGCAAGAGTTGTTTTTTTAAAAAATCCATCTTTACTCTGGCAGCAGCTTTAATGACATCACAGATTTATTGCACATAAGAAACTCTGTCAAGCAAAACTCAATAAAGGCAGCAGGATTTGAGGAAAGTGAAGAGTTTTGCTGTAAATTACTGAAATATCTCTAATGGCTTTTCCTCCACAGGATGCCCCTGTGAAGTTATGTGACTTTGGCTTTGCCAAAATAGATCAGGGAGACCTGATGACTCCTCAATTCACTCCTTACTACGTAGCACCTCAGGTAAAACAAACACAAACAGAAAAATGAGCCAATAAAAGAGGTCTGTGCCGCGATGAACATTCGATCATGGTTTTCTTTCAGGTACTTGAGGCTCAAAGAAGACACCAGAAGGAAAAGTCTGGAATCATTCCTACCTCACCAACTCCTTATACCTACAACAAGGTAAAACTCATATCCAAGCAACATCTTCAAGCTTCGTTTCTCAGATTTACACCAGACTTTTGATTTTAATTGTTTGTTTTTTCTCTGTTAGAGCTGTGACCTGTGGTCTATGGGTGTTATCATCTACGTCATGTTGTGTGGCTACCCTCCGTTCTACTCCAAACACCACAGCCGCACCATCCCAAAGGACATGAGGAAGAAGATCATGACGGGAAGCTTCGATTTCCCTGAAGATGAGTGGAGTCAGATCTCAGAAATGGCCAAGGACATCGTTCGCAAGTAAGTTTTTTTGTCTTCATCAGTTAAACAGCGGAGTTGAGTTGATATTAGATAAAACTCGGGCCCTATTATATTTAGACAGTGTTCCTAAACCCAAAATATTTGAATGAAATTAGATTAAAATTTACTGTTGCTGCTCGTCACAGGTACACAACAACAAAATGCAGACTGCATCTAAGCGGAGGTTCAAAAATAGTAAATGCTGATTTGACAGAAATCACATTGTTGGTAACAGTCATTTCTTTCCAGTGGTGGTGGTTTGTAGATTTCTAAACTTTTGTCTTGCTTCCATATTAGTCCTAAACCCGACTCCATATGATTTGGAGTCTTTTTTTCCCAATATATACCAATGTCGCGCCCTTCCTGCTTCAGGCTGCTGAAGGTGAAACCAGAGGAGAGACTGACCATTGAAGGAGTCCTGGCTCATCCCTGGCTAAACTGCACCGAGGCCCTGGACAACGTGCTGCCTTCTGCTCAGATGATGATGGACAAAGTGAGCAAATTGTGTTACGTGATAAATGAGGATGTTTTTTTTTTTTTTTTGTTCAGCCAAGCTGTATTGAACACAGTACAGTCCACAGTCAGCCTTTGACCTTTGTGTCCTTTTGTCCCAGGCTGTAGTAGCTGGTATCCAGCAGGCCCATGCAGAGCAGTTGGCCAGCATGAGAATCCAGGACATGAACATCAGCCTGAAGCCACTCAACTCTGTCAACAACCCAATCCTCAGGAAGAGAAAACTACTAGGGTATTCTTAGACTTTTTTTAAAATTAATTTTCTTTCTTTCTTTTTAAAAAAATAATGTTTGAGACAAAATGAGTCTAAATAAAATGTGATTGTTATGGTGTCCACGTCACAGCCCAAAGCCAAGTGACGCTATCTTCATCCACGACCCAGAGAACGGAGGTGAAGACTCCAACGTAGCGCTGGAAAAATTACGAGATGTGATTGCACAGTGTATTCTCCCACAGGCAGGTGAGTCAAAGCAGTGTGAATTTTGTCGACTTATAATTTTTTGTCGAACATAGTCCTCAAGTCTATTTATGGGGATGAAAATTGAATAGAAATATTTTTAGGGGTTCATGATGACAAAGAAAATCACTTTATTTATTACTCTATTTTGTTTAATATTCAGGGGCCTTGAACTGCAATGTCCTTCCATTTCATGTTTAACATGTTTGGTCTGACAATACAAATCCTTGAATCCTTGACTGCAGAGATGTAAAGAAATATTTTTTCTGAGAAACAATCGACAAACAAATCAGCTAAAATTAACTTTTCCTTTCCATCCAGGAGAGAATGAGGATGAGAAGCTGAACGAGGTGATGCACGAAGCCTGGAGGTTCAACCGAGACTGTAAACTGCTGAGAGAAGGTCTGCAGGGACTCAGCTGGGACGGTCAGTACCGCCACACTTAGTTTGTTCTTCAGCAGTGGCTTAAAGTCTCAAAGAACCGAAGGCAGATGATAAAAGTTGTTTCCACTTCATGTTGGTTGTTTCATTGATCCAGGTCATGACATCACTTTTCTCTCTGCAGGTCGAGTGTTTTCAGATAAGGTGGATCGTTTGAAGTTGGCGGAAATAGTCAAACTGGCCATTGAGGAGAAAACCAACCTTCAACAGTCTCATTAGCAAATGCTGAATCTTCTTTTTTATATTGTTTAATATTTGACCTTTGACCTTTTTGTGCAGATGCTTTTTATGTAAACAAATTTCAGTTTTTTTCATGAAAGCACCTGCAAATACCTAATGCACAGCTGTAGATATATTTCAAAAAAGGACTCATTGGTACTAAAATGCTTTTTGAAAAAGACACTTGCCAAAAACACGGTTAAAAAAAATGTTTCATCTTTTTTGCAACAAAAGCAGAAAGAGAAAAATCTTAATCGTTTTCTGGGAGGCATTTTGTATGAACTGTATGTCTTAGACACAATTTATTTCATCTCTATTTTTTTTTTCTAACAATCCTTATAATTTTATTTATTGAAACCTTTATTATTGCAACAGGGCTTTGATCTTTAAAGATGAAAAGCCGTTCTTCCACACACTTCTTGAATGTCATAAAAAGCTGTAAGTTCTTCTTGTATTATCACTCCGAAACAACACCTTAGATCATAAGAAGTCTGAGAGCTGAAATTAATTATATGAGACACCATCAATGGCTGAGAGTATTGTCAATATAAAAGAACGTGTTCAACACAGTGGGTGTTCTGCTGGTTGTAAATGCAGACCGGCAGGTAAAAGGGAAAAGTTGTAGGAAATGCTGTTAGACTGGGCTTTTGGCCTCTAAACATCTCAGAATATCATTACAAGTGTAATGCAACATACACATGTTTTAACAAGACAGCAATGTGTGTATGTGTTAGTTACAAGGAGAATAACTGTCTGTGTTGGATCATATGTTCATTACAATGACTATACGTGTGTTTTTAACCTAGAGTTTTCCACTTCACTAACAGTGACAGTGAGCTGATCCTGACCTTTCCCCTACTAATGCTCCTGCTTCCTCATTTTTCCCACATGGTTTTTACCTCATTGTTTCTGTTCTTCACTGCCACCTACTGGGTCTTTTTCCATTACTGAACTGGTATTTACACCCTGAAGTCCCAAGCACACCTGCAAGAAAAAAATAGGGAACAAGAAGTAAATAGAGGCAGAGGGTGGCATCACTGCACAGGGAAACACTACACTTACAAAAGAAGATTGATTTGTTTAAAGAACATTGCTGTATGATGACTAATGAAGGGCTAACACATGACTAACGAACACGCTGCCTAACGTGATGATGATGAACAGTTAAATGTTAATACATGCACCAACATTTAAAATGAAAATGCAACCATTAATATGATTTAGTGCTGCAGGGTTTTGTCCAAAGTTCAGTTTGTATCCAATATTATTTATTTGTTGAGAGGACTCTGACCTGTTTGAGTGCACAGCAGATAAATGGTTTTGGTTGTTAATTATGTTGTTTTTGTGTTTATTTTGGTGTATTTATGTAAAAGATTGTTTTGGGGTTTTTTTGCCCTCTCGGGGAACCATTTTTTTTCCTGTTTACTGCTTTTCTTATATACATGTACTGTATATATAAAATTGTTCTAATTTCAATTTGAATGAAAATGTATGCAATAGATGGTGTGTGGTGCCATGGTTTTTACTTTCCAGAAAAACAAATGCTCACCTATGGAAGATGACGTATTAGCATAGATGTGGAAGAGTACCTTTAAATGTCATTGTCGCTATAATGACTGTCTTACTGAATAAGAAAGGCTTCCCAGACTTAGACACAAGCAAAGACAACTTTCCGTCTCTCAAGCTACTGATGTCCAAACTTTAGGTTCTGCTTAAACATTTCTTTATGTAAAGTTAGTAAAAGATTCTTTTTGCAGAATCGTTCACTTGTGTCAAAGTTAAGCTATTGAAGGGCTTACATGAGTCATCTCTCCATCGACAGTAGCTGCAGTTAGCCTGGGTTACCTTTTAGATGTCTTTGGATCATTTTTCATTGATAACATTAGGCCATTTCAAAGCTAAAACCTCTGGTCATCTTCTGAGCCTTAGATATAGTATTTAAATATACAGATGCTTCCCCTGTTAAAGGTTGTTGAGCCTCTGTTTAATAACCAGAACTGGAAGTTTATGCACACTTCTGTGAGTGATTGATCTTCAGGAGGTCTGGGGTGAATCAAATCAGCTTCATCTGCTTATCAGATCTGAAGAACATTTAATAAATTAGCTTCTGTAAAAACAGGGTCTCACAGGAATAATATTAAACCAAGGCGTTCTTTCTGCAGAAATACAGTTGTTCGTAGCCTTATTGTTGTTGTTGTTGTTGTTGTATCCCAACTCTGAACTTTGGTCCAGACTGTGGGCCATTTTACTAATACTAATAATCCAGAAATACACAATCTTTGCCAAGGCAGATGGGGCCATAATAGATTGAAACATCATTCTGACCTTTCAATACTGTGTGAAAAATCTATAAAATACATTTGCCTATGTTTTTCCAGCCACCTGACTTTAAATAACTTTAATAATAATCTTTAAAAAATAGGCAGAAAAGGTTGAGTCAGCTTGAATTTCCTCTAAATACCAGTTGCGTCTGTCACTCCTGCTAAATGGACATTTTCCTTTTCAGTTCTGATATCACACAAGTGTAAATCATTTAATTTCACTTATAAGTTCTATTCATCTCCTAGGTTTCATAGAGTTATTTTCTGGCTTCACTCAACTTTCTTTTATTCTCTGGCTGTAATGTAGCATGCACGCTAATAAATCCCTCACAAAGACCTCGCTGTAAGTTCCTGTCATTGCGTCTATTTTCTTGCCTTTCTGCTTTTGGAATGTCATCAGGGTGCTGACTTGGTAATAAAGGAATTCTTTGACATTTGAACATGTGGTTTGGGTTTTGATTGGAGGATTTGTTCACTGCCTGCAGCGTTGGCAGTCTGCAATGTAAATGTTAGGTTTGTTTGTGACCATGTTACAGATATGGTTTCAATCTGTGAGTCACTGTCAAAGTGCTGGATCTGGAGGTTTGGTTTTGATCATGTTTATATTTCCAGGCCAATAACCGTGTGTGTAAGAACCCATATTAGGAGCACAGGTACTTACGTACATCACGTTTAAATAATGAAATAATTTCAACCAAAACGTTTTAAATACTTCTTAAGAAATTCAAAGTTTTTTCCCTCCCTGTCTTCATTATATCTAAGTGGAGGCCATTGTCAGATCATGTGAAATGACCACATCAGCCAAATAAAGGAAGAAACGATTTCCACCATTTGACAACTGACCTTCAACACATTGAACAAATTTACACACTGACTGTATATAAAAACAGTACAAAGCTACCTTAGTTGCAGGCTCTGGTCAGAAGGTCAACTGGTGGAGCTGGTTCATGAGATGCTTGAGTAAAAATAAATAAATAATTTATAATAATAAATAATAGAAACTTGTGAAAATTACCTTAATCTCAGCTCAACCTAGCCAGTGGCCCTGTGGCTCTAATTTTCATGCACACACGAGTCTACAGTTCACCTGCTGGGCTTGAGTGCCTCATTCTGATAATCAAGAAAACAGCATGGAAAGCTAACTCTACTTAAACTAAAAAAGGCATGAGAACAGTTCACAAAGACTGCTACCCTGGCCAAGACTTTGACCTCTGACCTTCCTGCAGCAATTTTCCAACTCTACATCGTCTTACATTGTCTCTGTGAAATCTCACAGTTGGGTTAAGATATTTTTATTTAAGCAAAAACAAATGTGAACATAGGACACAAACATCTTTGAAAAAAATCAATGTTTAATGTTTATATTAATATAAAGATGCACTTTGTTACAGGTATTTAAGGCACTTGGGAAATGTTTGTTAGAAAACCGCAACAAAGATTGAGAACATTTCTCCCAAGTTGGAAAAAAGCAACAATCAACATGTGACAGGACAGATTATTTTCTACACAGAGACTGACCGACTTTGTTACAGCATTGGAGACTGATATAAGGCGTAACAACTCAAGTGGAGCTAAAGGAATAACGTCCTGCCCTCATTAAAGGTAAATAATGTCTGTCACACATGTGAAGTTCAGTTTCTCTCTCGTTCCCTCTTCCTCAGTTTGTCTCTCAGTGAAGGGAAATAAATAAATGTTTGTTTTTTTTTTTTTATACCAAAAATCAGATTATGCACATCAGCAATTTAGGTCCAACCTTTAATCCTGTCTGGCCATTAATCTGGTAGGTGAGCAAACCTTCAAACCACATTCACTCAGTACTGTGATAGAGTGAATGAGTGCTGAGGCCTGAGTGGTTTGCACGAATGAACAGAACTCGTGGAATTACACTTAAGAAAAAACATCAGAGCAGCAAATAGTTTTTTCGGGAATGTTATTAAAAAAAAAAAAATCTTTGGGCTTTTATAACCCTCCTCCCAAACACCTAAAGGAAGATAACGGTAACATTTCAACTGTTTAGTCCGAGTCCTCATCATCCATGTACTCCTCCGCGTTGCTATATGTGCGAGTGACATCTGTAAACAAAAGAGATGCATGTATAAATGAAATGTAAATTCTAGGGCTGTCGAAATGAGATAAATAAATAGATACTTTATTGATCCCAAAGGGAAATTAAGGAAAATGAGCATGTTAATTAGTTTAGAAATATTAATCTGATCAAGATTTTTAAACGCAGAATGACATGGAGTGTTTATCCAATAATTCCATCATTCATTCACTTATTGTTATTTTAATAAACAGTTGATACACATGTTGTTACTTGCACACACCGTGGGAACTTGAAGGTGTGAATGAACATGAATATACATGCTTTTATTGGTCTTTGTGTTCCGGAAATGTACCGACTTGAAGGTTTTAGACATATTTAGGAATGACAAACTTCATACTTCCATTCACCCATTGAAACGTGTGGAACTATAGCTTAATATAAGTAAAACTACTAGACATAAGTAAATTCATTAGCACATGTTTGACTTCAGAGAGACGATGGTTTATGGGATGAAACTGCTCCTGAGTCATAATGTGTTTGTGTGCTTTAAGGCTGCCCTCCAGCGGCGGTAGCACTTACTGCTTCCCTGCTTCCTCTTTAGAAGTGAAGCACTTTGAGCGTTGGTGGCCATGTCCAGAGCCAGCTTGTTCTCATTGTTCCTGATGTCTGTCCTTGCATCTGAAACAAAGAAATGTTGGTACCTTTAATGTTGGTAATTTTATTTCAACAACAATACCAATCATTTTTCATCTTGACACTGAACTCCATCATCAAGTCACCTGTCTTTAAATATCTAGTGAAGACTCACTCACTTTTACTGAGCAACATCTCCACAATGTCAGCGTAACCCTTCCAGGCAGCAGCGTGCAGAGCCGTGTCCCCGAGTTTATTCTGAAACAGGAAACACCACTGTTACCCACCTACTTCACTCACACACACTTGTCAGTTCATCAACATCATCAATTGTTCTCCAAACCAATGCTGTATTCACTCACTTTGTTGCTGCCACAAACCACAGAAAATCTTTAAATGGACAGAGTTTTAGCAGGAATTAATTTTCTGGAACCGTAAAGCTTCTGTTGTCAACTATTGGCTAATTTAAATGTTGACAAACCTGGCTAACATCTCCCTATTTTTTTTTCTTTGACCCTTAATTGCTATATTGTCTGTAATCCTCCCACATTTTTGATTGTGGTTAAAGAACACATCCCACCTGCTGGTTGAGTTCCACATTGGGCTGGCCTAACAATAGCTCCACCACATCTGTCACAGTGAGAAAGAAGAAGATGAATATATAGTTATTGTTAATGCAGGGATAAAAGGTACAGATCACAAGGCACTTCTTTTAACTTTTCTGTTGTCGCAATAAAAAAATTGGTTATGTCTGCAGTTGCTTATGGCTGCAGTTGTCAGACCACTAACACAAGAGATTAAAGGTTCACTGCAGCTAATCTGAAAACAATAATTTTTTTTAGCAATCAACTATTTTACACCTCGTGGCATTTTGGCCCAGAGGCAATGTCTCTGTCATTGGTGTGGAACCCCAGGGTTCACCTCCTGGGCAAGTTCAAATCCCGGTTAGGGAGGTTGGTACCTTCCAGTGGACTCACCACCTGCAGGAAGGTTCAGGGGGGTTGGTACGGTGCAGTGTGATTTAGGTGGCGACTGCTGCCCCTGCGACCCGGTAATAGATAAGCGGATGAAAATGGGTGGATGGATATTTTACACCTCCTTCCATCATTACCTATATGTCCTCCGTGGCATCCCCAGTAGAGGGCAGTGTTCCCGGCCTTATCCAGCCCATTAATTCCAACCTTGTTCTCCAGACATTCCCTCAACCAGCTCAGGTTTCCTGTTTAAATGCACAAAGAAGCAAGTATTTCAGCAAGTCTGACACAGGTTTGTGGGTACGAACCTTGAAGAGATGGTAAAGTTTGTAGAAAACACAAATAAAACAAGGTTGATAAATACATATGTAAATGAAAATGTGTGTCCTACCTCGTTTGGCTGCTTCGTGCATTGGGTTGTCGATTGACTCTGCGTTATCTGCAACTAAAAAGATATAACAAGACATCACTGTATCATCTAAAATTATTTTATTAATTAGCTGAAACTAAGGACTTCATAAGAATGTACATTGATCCTGACAAAATGCATGTGTGATAAACTTTTTTTTTTTTAAATATTTTATTTTAAACTCACCATAGTTGCTTGGAATCAGTCCTGTCCTCCCCCTGCAGGTTCCCTTCCACCAGTTTGAGTCACTCTGGGGATGGATGTAGATTTAATAATTGTTATTTACCCACTTTTATTTTATAATAAATAAAAGACAAAAAACATATACTGTGAGTCGAGTACACAGAAGTAAAAAAAAAAAAAACAATACAAAGAAAATGAGGATAATTATAAAAAATGCAAATAGAAGAAGGAAGAACCGACAACCTTTTGAGGAAGACATTGTTCAATGGGACACGAAGACAGATGTCAGTTAAATTGTTGTTGTTGTTGTTCTCACCGTGTCAGAGATGTACAAAACGTCTCCCTCTTCAAAGTACAGCTCATCCGGCTGAAAATAACAGTGATAATAGCGAGTTAACTGCAGTACATTTAGGATTTAGATATAAAGTATCAAACTGAAGACTCAGCCAGGAGAACTTACTGTTCTGGGGTTAAATGTGAACAATGCTCTGAACACTTTGACTTGGCCTGAAAAAGAGACACATTTTTAAAAAGTTTTTGGTCATCAAAAATCTTAAACACAAATTATTTTCAACAATGTTCGGAAATAGTAAACACCTTAGAGCATAAGGATTACTGTCATTGATTTAATGTCCAGTCAGGTTTTCATTTGTATTGTCCTATTTCAGTGTGCTGTTTCCTCTGGGTACCATTGGATTTTTCCCAGCAGTCCTTCACTGAATTGCCAAATCCTTATCACATCCCTACAAAGGGTGATTTTTTTTTTAATGGGGGGCCGGGGGGGAAAGGGGGGGAGGGGTTGAGGAGCTTAAGATCTAGCACATCATGTAAACATGTGTTTCAACTTTTTTTTTTAACTGGAGTGTGCAGCAGCCCTGTGGCTCACATTGTTCTTGGAGTAGATTCTGCTGCTGGAATGTCACCAGAGGGGTTGTGGCCTAGGCTAAAGCTGAACTAGGTCAGAGAGGAGACCCACAAAACTAAAGAAACAGAAACAAACACAGGCCCTTTAATAAGAAAAAAACTTCCATCTACTCATTCCTGAGGCAAAACTTAAACCTGAAGGAATGTCCTGTGTGTTTACTGTATGTTTTTGACATACTGCAGAACAACCATTATACACAAATACACACTGCTGGGGTTAGTATGGAAAGTATGATCAGGTCAGCTGTATCAGTTTGCACTAAAACTGCAGCCTGTGGGTGAGGTTGATGTCAACAGATGATAGAAGTCAAAGGTTACAAAACAAAAGCAGACAATGATGCAGTAATTTGTTGAAATAGGAAAAGGTTGGACATTTGCGACACCATCTGGCAGCAATCGCTCCGTGTTGCAGAAGGCGCTGTTAATAATTGAGTTGGAGCAGGTTGTGGATTGTTCTACATTACCCCAAGCATCTTTGTCTGAAATGCGCTCAAACAAGCACAAACTGGGTAACTCTCATAATCTCCCTGACGCAGTACATTAAAATTAAATTTTGTGCATACTGTTTAGTTAAAACTTACAGAATACAAACTTACAGAAAAAGTTGGTAGATCTTGTGAAAGCGCAGCATAAACATCTGTAGAGTTTTTGATTATGTTTTTTTTACTAATATTTGCATTTATAAAAAAAAAACAAAAAAACAAAAAAAAACATGGACACTTGATATCCTCAACACACTCAAGATGGAGAGAGGCAAAGTTTACCAGAAAACATAAAGCAGGTTTCAAGATTCATTATAAAAAATGTTTTGGCACAAAAGGATGGACAGTGGTGAGCACTGTGGGTAGACCATTAAGAACTCTATGTTAATTTACAACTAATAACTAGAAATTTAAATCAGTTAATCATTGCTAAATATTCTAAACCTGTTGTTATCTACTATGAATACAGTTTACGAATACATAACTGTGATTGACAGACAGATAGAGCCAGGAAGTACTTCTATAAATCATTGTTGATTAACAAGGTTTGAGTCTGCATTTATAAATGCACACCGAGACTGTATGACAGAAAAATAGAACAGGGCAAAAAGAGAAACTCTGTACAGGAAAGCTGCAAAACAGTATCCTGTTACTTGCAAAGAGGGGAATAAGCTAACAATTGTAACAGCATGTGGTTTTTTTTTTAATAACAGTATTCGAAGGAGTCTCCTTAACTTTTAAAAAGCACGACGGGATTAAATTCACAATCACTCCATCTGTTGCTCTGTGTCATGATGTTTGTCTCTGTCCCTGTCCATAAACAACTGATAAGACAAGACAGATTCCTCCTGTATAGATAAAATATATTTCTTCACAAAGGTTACTCATCCAAGAGCTGCATGCTACACTGCAAAAGGGAAGTAGTGCTAATTTTGACATTACACTTCAGCAATCACAAGCATGAAAAAGGCAATTGCTGACATAAATAATTTCATTTCCACAAATGTCTTTGCATGCATGTTATGAGGAGACGTGTCACATGCTATATCTCTGAATATCTTCTACGGTCCTCGTTCTTCCTGTGAGTTAAAGCAGATTTCTAACTCACAGGATTGTAACCCCTCACTCCTCCAGTTACTCAAGGTTCCTATTCAGCAAACAGACACCGTTTTGGTGACTCAAAATGAGAGAAGGCCTGAGTCTCTGCACAAGCACTGCTCTGTAATGCTCTGTTCAGCACAGAAAGCACGTCTCTCTGCAGGCCCGGTCATGTTCCATGAACACACCGAGCCTGTGGTAACGAGTCCAGAGTCTCTCTGCATTTTACAGCTCCTGTCTTATCATTCGCTATGTTCATTCCAATGTTAACAACTACAATGATAATACAAAGCATTTATGAATTTAGGATTAATGTTGACCATCATTTTAATTGCAGTGCAACATGGAGCTTATGTTCAAAACAAAAAAACATGGCGTCATGTTTTTTATCTTGTCAGAAAGGTACTTAAAAGGTTAATTTAACAGTTATTTAAAAATATCAGTTTCCTGATAACTGCAAAAAGTTCAATATTTTGCATACAAACAAATAACTTGAGTTATCTGATGTTGAGTAAAAGTAAAAACAAATAAAAAAATTCACAAAAGCTGATACCAGAGGACCATTTTTCTTTGTAAAGATTGCACTGGTGTCGGTACGGGGAATATAGAAATAGATAGCTTCTAATTAAGTAACATGGGGAGGATGGAGCTTGTAATTAGAGGATTGTCAGTTTCTGTGTTCTGTATGAACTGATGGGCTGTTTCACAGATGAGTTCAAATGCAGTTAGTAATTTCCCTTAGGGTAATTAGGAGAGTCATTATTCATATCTATTAATTGTATTGACAAACCACAAAAGTCCAAGAGTCAAGGGTGATGTCCTTCACATTTGTCCTAAACATTTACATAAATCACTTTATTGCTATTAAGGTCTTGTGCTGCATATTAATATTAAATTAAAGAAGCCCTCAAACATGCACTACAAATGCAAAGCCTTCAGGAAACCATTCATCATGTGAGATTCTTAGAGTGATCTAGTTAGTTGTGGTCCCTTTCAGTCTGTGCGCCGGAACGCTGAAACTGTGTTCTAGGCCAAGCTGCCTCTCTGATCTTGCTCAAAGCGATGGTTTTAGACAACTTTTAATTAAATCTAAATATGTTTTATTTTAGATGTGTCAATGCAGTTGGCCTTAGTTTCCGTAATGAGAGAGATGGAGTTAATTGAAGTAGCCAATTGCATTATTTACCTCCACACCTGCATTTCAATTGTGTAAAAGAAAATGCGTAAAAAAAAACAAACAATAATTTCTCTGTAACAATTTTAGGACCATCTTTATGTTTGACCTTTGTGAATAGGAACCAAGTCAAACAGCAGCAGCAACTGTTGATGACATGACACTGCTGTGATATCAGGAACTATCAAACACTAGTACAAACAGTCTTTCGAACTGTGCTTCGTTTAGCTAAAATATGAATTCCTGTTTCACAACCAGATGTCTAGGGACCTTGTTCGCAAAAACCCGACACACGCAGGAGATACGTACAAAAGTAGCAACAAAAACAATAATTTAAGAAGTGATTCAGACCCGCTTTAAAAGCGTAAAAACAAAACTATTTAACCTGTACTAATCAGTAGATTCCGTGCCTAGAGGAAGTGGCGAAAAATGACAGTGACCAGAGCAGATAATCAGGCCAGAACAGTGTGGGAGCACGACCGAGTGAAATAGGGGAAGTGACTATTCACAGGCCTGTGGCTGTGCAGAACTGGATCAGTCTAACACTCAGCAGTGAGAACACACTGCACCTCCACCCAAAGATAAAAAAAAAGTTAACCACAGTGGAACAAACCCGCTTCACTCTACTGACTGCTTCACAGTTTCACAGAAAATATGCGGCATTAACAGACTGGAGGGTACCCGCCCGCCCACGAAGCTGTGGCTGCATCGTCCTAACAAGGTGCGTTTGTCCTCGTAAACGTGAACAGAGTTTATGGCGAATTTAACACAACTTTACTCTAAAAGTAAGTCTTACCTGGTTTGGCCGGTTTTGGCGGAGGCTTCGACATTTGTGGGTCTCAGATGTTAAAGAAAACTTAACGTACTGGTTGTAGAAGTATATATATATGAGTGCAAAATGTGCGCGACAGGGAAGACGCTGGACTGAGCTATTATCACTGCCAATAAGGAAGTTCGCTCAGCAGCGGAAGTTTTTCTGAGCATGCGCAAAGCAACAGGTAAAATGACGGATTTTCAAATGATCTGAGTGATCTACTTACTTTTAAAACTATAAATATATATTTTCTGCTTTGATTAAATGGCTGTAGTTCTATGGCACAATACCGTCTGACTCAATACTTCTATGCTCCTTACTTTAGCCCTAGTGATTAGGATCTTAAAATAGAATTCAATCTTTATATATATTTTTTGTTTCTTTAAATGTAAATGTAATTGCTCCCAGCACTCCCTTTGAGATCTACTGGTAGATCCCCATCTACTTATTGGGCACCTCTGTTGTAGTGTATAAACTGTACACTAAATTCACCTCATCAGTTCTCATTCACCTCATAAATAAACTCTGACCATACTAACTGTTGTAATACTTCATTGTACTTCTAATAAAGTAAAAATATATTCAAAGTATCCAGGGAGGGAGACTCCGTTTTACAGTTTTTTATTACAATACAATCACTCTTTTAGGTTTCTTTCTTCCTACTTAACGTCTTTCCGAATTATTGTGAACGTATTATTATTTATATTATTATTATTTATGTTTTTGTTGCTAGACAGTTTAAGATAGAATCAAATAAATGCCGTCGCAATAAAAGGAAAACGTGATAGCAGGGGATGAAAGAAACAAAAAATTTAAAACGGATCTACATTAGACTACAGCATTTCTGCGGTGAAACTGGAGATTAACATCTAAAAATGGCTGGTTTTGGTCAGATGTAGAACACCGTTTAAAATCAGTACATCGAATTTGAACTCATAATCTATTTTCTTTTTAAGTTGCTAATTCCTAAATGAATGCATAGACTGTGTTTCATTTGTACCACGAGGGGCGCACAACTAACAGTGAACGTTCAGTTAAACAGTGTTTTCTTATGGGCAGAAACTAGAGTGACGTTAGCCAATCACAAGTGTCCAACAGCGGAAGCAAGACCTGAGTGAGTGGAGTGGAAGTCCTGTCATAACACTATTCCCTGCGCACGGATAATGCTGAAATGCTATTCTTATATAGTATTTCTTTTAAAATAATGTAGGTTTTGTACTTCACTGAGTTTGCAGAAAAAGCCAAAATGAAGACCCTCATTCTGGGAATCGGAGGGTAAGGCTATGCTAATGCTTTCTAATCTATTGTAGGCTTGAGCAAATACAGTACATATTGTACGTTGATCACAAACTTAACTTCACCGCCATGACAAGAATTGAATTGATTGTCATTGTTAGAAACACCGTGTAATCATTTGTGTGTGTTTTTTTCCACTAAATGTTGTAATTTAAACAAATGTGTCGTGTTTAAAAAACAACCTGCAGGTAGGACAAAAAAACATCTTTGTTGCTGTTAAACTTTCTCTTTGTCCACATCATCTTCAGCAAAATTAATTTAAAAGTTCTGAGTTTAAAACTACTTGTTTTATGACTCAAATAAATAAATAAATAAAAGTTTATACAAAGTACATAACCAATAATTTTTACCATTGGTGAATAATTGACCAGTTGTGTTCAAACTAATCCCAAAGAATTGCACACATCAGGTTGGATGAAACAGCTCACAGGACAATGATTGACAACAATAGTTACTTATTTATATTTAAAAGTTATGCATTAATTTATTTTTTAAATGAACCAGAAATGATGCGCAAAATGCGTTACTCTTTTAGTTAGTAATTACAATGTTGTACAGTATAAAACATGACGTTCAGGTGGTGGACATGCTGTTTGATCAGTGCCTTAAGTGATCATCTGCAGCAGCCTACAAGTCCATCAAAATGGGAAATGGCTTTATCATCTCCAATATGTTGAGATTCCACATGAACATGTCCAGATTACAGACTGTTCTCCATTTTAGGATGACCAACGGTGGAAAATCTACCTTGGCCAGGCGTCTACACCAGCAGATACCCAACAGCTGCATCATTGCACAGGATACATATTTTAAGGTTGTGTTTAGTGGTACAGGTTGTATTAGTGCTTCTACTTACAAATGTTCCAGTGATGGTTAGTGATGATAGAAGGTGGTTTTCTTTCCACAGGATGATTCTGTTGTACCAGTGGACTGCAGTGGATTTAAACAATATGACAGTAAGGGCATTCTTTGAATACTAAAATGTACAATTGTTAGCCACAAATATATATTATGAAATGTAAAGACTGCAAAGCAGCCATTAGTAACATTTAATCTTTGACTAATAATTATTAGATTGGTGAAATATCTTGTTGTCTTTACAAAAACCATGTCATTAATGATAACTTAATATTATGATGCATAATAAGCAACCATCAGTTTGGTCATGCATTTGGTCTGTGTTGTGTTTAAGTGCTCAGTGCTCTACATATGGACAAGATGATAAATGATGTCGATTTATGGAGAAAAGATCCCGAGGCCTACATGAATGGACAAGGTCTAAACAAGGAGATGAAAACACTGACAGCTGATAAAGGGGTGTTTGTGCTCATCGTGGAAGGATTCCTCATTTTCAACTATGGGTACATTAGAGAAGATTGGTGAAATGAATGCGACTGAATTCATGTCTGAATGTACATTTTTGGCTCATTTCAAAGAAATATTTCCTTATTGTGGACTTATGTACTACTTTATTTTATGCTCTTTATAGTTGAAATTGGTTAGGTTACTACTAAAAAATTTAACATGTGCCATTGAAATATGTCTTTTATTTTTTCTAAGGCCTCTAAATGTTTTGTTTGACAAAAAGTACTTCATGGAAATACCTTATGATGTCTGCAAAGAGAGAAGAAGGTAAACATATATCACAGTCCAGTTGTATGTTATGAGTTTTTCTATACAGGACTTTTTACCTCCTACATTTTTTTAAAATATTTTTTTGCCATTTGACAGTTCAAGGGTTTACAAGCCTCCCGATCCTCCAGGCTATTTTGATGGACACGTGTGGCCAATGTACCTAAGAAACCGAGAGGAAATGATGTGCATGGTGTCAGACATGGGTGAGTGTACTGTGGTTTAGGGGAAGGCATTAGCTGCTGTTTTTAAAAGTTTGAGAAGTTAGAGACACTTAAAGTGGAATTTATTAAAATGTCACCAAATGCACTGATTAGGTCTTTGGCATTTTTCATTTGTAAACATTTTTGAGGAGAAAGTTTGTCTTTATTGTTTATCATTTTGTGGTATTCTAGGAATGTTCCTTACATTTCTTAGGCTATTCTTTAAAGATAAAGGTCAGTCAGATAACTCCTTTCAGTTCTAGTGATCATCAGATCCGTAGAAAGGTAAGGCGGGGATGTGGTACTATTACTGTGATTGTTGGGCTGTTGTAGCATTGAATTCATTTTGACATGTGAAGGTGTAACACATAAAAAGCAAAGGATTCCAAACCATTGAAATTAGATTTGCTGACATTGTTTTTTTTTTTTTAACTAGTATTTCTAGATGGACTCAGTCCAAAAGAAGAGTTACTGGCTGCTGTTTATGAAGATGTTTGTCAGGAAACAGAAATAGTTGAGGTAAGTTCTAGTAAAAGCAATGAGGGAGTGGTACTTCACGTTCTTTTTAACTGTCATAACTGTGTGCAATTGTAATGTGGTTTGCTACCACGTGAGCAATGATTTGTTTGAGGCAATCTAGACACAAGAAGATTGTGTTATTAAGGGATATGCATACATTTTACATGGATATAATCTCTTAACCAATATTTACTGTTGATATTACTGCAAGCTTTATAACAATAATTGTATCTGTTTTTTTCTACAGATCAAAATAGAAACAGTAGGGGTCCGGTGAAGTTGGTCAAAGCTGCTGCTGTGGATTTCAAGAAATTAACTCTCACTTTCAACCTCTACCTCTAATGTCAATAAGCCGATGCAAAATCTGCACCACTTCCCTGACCAATAATTGTCTCTGTCTCGGAGGTGGTCAGATATATATATTTAGGAAACCTACATGCATTAAATGTTTCAGTATTTTATAGATTTGGTCCTGATACATCTGGACATTTCATCTCTCTGTACATTGTTTGTATTTTATCATAAATTATGTATTTGCCTTCTTGTATCTCCTTTGGCCCACTCAGAGAGAATAACTGGTGATGCACCTTTTCATAATGAAAATCAAATGTTTTTGATCTCACTCCTTTTTTGAAATTGAAGGGATTTACCAGCCATCGTTCCCTGCTCTGGTTTGGTGATGCAATGTGTTTTCATGATTTAACATCTGTTAAAGGAACTTTTACAGGGACCCAGGGAGAGATATAAAGAGGGAGAAAAACAAGCCTTTAACTATAAAACAAAATCATGACTATCTCCATAGAGACAATCCTGGAACAGAATGCTGATTTTTCTGTGTCTGTGTCATGTGGCACTTAGCCAATCCTGAGCTAATCCTGCTAGCTCCTGCACACTGGGTAAACTTTCAAACTATCTTGCCTTGATGAATTAAAACAAGAAAGTATCACTAATGTTAAGATATTTAAATTTTGGGAGAAATACCTGTTGGCGGATTTATTTAAAAAAAACCAACAACTACTGAATACTGTTTCTTATAGTGGGAGTTATTGACATACACTAAAAAACAAACAAACTGCAGCTGGACATGGAACAAACTGTAACTCTTGTAGACTCAGCAGAATAAATTAAACTGAAGCAGTTGCATTAAATGTGTCTGGTTCCTCTCAGTGTGTGAACAGTTCTACAAAAGATGACCTGTACTTTTAACAATGCAGGGTTTATTTTTACTGAAACCTGTCTGACAGCACCGTGGGCCTGAGTAAATGCTGCATGAACTCGTTTTTTTCTCTCTTGAGTGTTCATTGTGCAACACAAACAGTGACCCACGGAACTACATCGCTTCCTGGACAAAAACTAAATCCCGAGAACTTTTTACCAAAAGTCCATGCTTTCAGCAGAACGTTAATGTTTGCCTCAGCAAACCTCACTGGTCTGGCCAGTATTTCCTTTCCTAAAGCTACCACATGTAAATGTGGGCTTTCCTCACTTCCTTGTACTGACTACAGTGACACAGATAAATGTGCTGCAGTTTATTTCATAAGCTACTGCTCTCTAACAGCCCCAGGGGACTGCGCTGCTTATTTACACCTTGGACACCGAAGACCAAACATGGCAAATTCAGGACTTTTACCATGTATATACTTGGCTTTTGTCAACTCAATCTTTTTCAGTCTAGCTCTGCCGACTGTCTTCAAAAGGAATCCTATGAATGACAGACCAGTGTTTGGTAAGTGAAATGCGCATTAAAAAGTAATATTAAAGTCAGTGTGGTTTTTTAATGGTAAGTGAGTGGTTTTATTAGTATTGTCCTCTTTCATATGTGCTGTGTTCTTGACCTGCAGGAATTTTGACTCAGATAGTTACAGATGATGTTTTGAAACCTTTCGGGAAGACCTTTATACCTGCCTCCTATGTGAAATACATGGAGTCCGCTGGCAGCAGAGTCATGCCTATCAGGTTCCTAAAACTTTTTTTCTTTCTTTCTTTTTTTGTATGTTTGAGGTATTAGTTTGCAAGTATAACTTAATTACCTGGAATAAAAAAAATGTATGCATACTCAGTGGTGTGAAACATAAAACAGTGCATCATAGGTTGTGTCATGAGATTTTGTCATCTTTAAGAACCAATCATTGTCTGTTGTGGTCTGTCTCTGCAGGTTAACTCACACCACAGAAGAATATGAAGACATCTTCAGGAAGATTAACGGGTGAGTAGACTGTAAATGTGTCTTAGTTTCAGGTGGATATCAAATAAAAAACGTTTTATATATCTTATCAGCCTGCTATTCATTGGAGGAGCCGTGGATATAGAGACGTCAGAGTTTGCCAGGGTGGCAAAAATTTTCTACAATCTGGCTCTGAAGGTTTGTTTAGTTCTTTGCACCAGGATTGAAATGTATTCCCTGATAATAATAAAATTTAATACTGCCCTTAAAATCTTATGATGGAGAATTAATACCCACAAAAAAAATAAAAAAATAACAGTGAGTAAGAAGCTAAGCTAGCTAAAAATTAGCAAGACTAGTAATTTAAAAGTCTGATAAATAAAAGTTTAGATAATAATAAAGCATGTTTAATACATTTTAAACTGTTGCAGAAAATTGACTTCTTGTGTGTTTTAGGCCAATGACAAAGGAGATTTCTTCCCAATTTGGGGCACGTGTCTGGGCATGCAACTTCTGACTGTGTTGGTGTGTGGAGAAAACCTGCTGGAAAAAACCACAGCTGAGAACATAGCTTTGCCACTCAACCTGACAACAGGTTTGCTTTCTGTATTTATATATATTTAATTATTATGATGTTAGAAAGTACATCTTTAGAATTAATTTGGAATTAAAAAAATACCATTTTTAATATAATCAGAAAAACACAAGGCAACCTTTTCTGATTTACTGTGTGTTCTGCTTTTTACCTGTCATTCATGGCAGGGTTGTATTTCCAATTATCTTTGCCCTTTGTTTCACTTCCTCATTTCCATTGCAGAGGCTTATTCCAGTAGAATGTTCAGGGATTTCCCAGAAGATTTTATGAAGATATTAACCCAAGAACCCCTGACTGGCAATTTTCACCACTATGGATTGACTGTGGAGGTAAAACAAATTGAAAAATAAAATCAGTGACACACACCAAGCACTTCACTATTTTTTTAAATTTCAGATTTATAGTGGTTGCTTATATGAAGATAAGGTTTTAAACTGAGTTTTCTGCCATGTCCAAACTAACCAATATGAAGCTGTTACAATGGTACATAGCCTCTGCTATTTTTCTTTACTCTGTCATTGTCTTGTTAACCAAACAATTCAATTGGGGTTGCAAATCCTCTACTGAACACATGCCATTAAACTATATTTCACCACCATCCACACATGAAAGGGAAGGTAAATGGCTATGAAGCTCAACCAGCATGGATTTTTATTTTTTTTATTTTGTTTGTGCACTCTTTTATTGCAGACTTTCCAGAAAAATGAAATGCTACACAATTTCTTCTCTCTGTTGTCCACAAACACTGCTGAAAATGAAGCACACTTTGTCTCAACCGTAGAAGGTGAGAACAAAATCTAATCATATATTTAGTGAAATTAAACATTTCACTGACATTTTCAGTTTGAAATACACATTCAGTTGTGTTGTTCTCATGACAGGTAGGAGATATCCCTTCTACGGAGTACAGTGGCATCCAGAGGGAAACAGATTTCAGTGGAACACAAGGCTCAACTTTCCTCACTCTGCTCATGGTGCTCACTTATCATCTTTAATGGCCGAGTTTTTTGTTAATGAAGGTAACATATAACATACATATCTTATAATAATAATAATAACAATAATAATAATGATAATTATTGTTATTATTATTACTATTGTTGTTGTTGTTGTTGTTGTTAATAATAATACGCTCTTTTCAGGTTTTGTTTCTGACCTTTTGACCCTGTTATGCAGTTAGCTCAGTGGTAATGTGGTAGGACTCCAATCATTAAATTTTGGGGCAAAGATTATGTTTGCATGGAACACATTGACCAAAAAAGGTAAAGTCTGTTCAAATGTAGTCAACAATTACAGGTGTGTTGCTTTTTAAACACAACAGCACAGAACACCACCCAGATGTTTATCTATATAGAATTAAAAAGGAGGAGTGGTTAAATTTATATCTTAAGTTACCTTGTGCACAAAAAAGAAAGAAAGTCTGAATGAAAGCAAGAGCTTAAGCAAAAGATAGAAACAAAAAATAAATACGAAAAGAAAGAAAGACAGAAACTACAAACAATAAAAAATAAACAATGAAAGAAAGAAAGAAAGACAAATGAACAAAGTAAGAAAGAAAGAAGGAGGAGGAAAGAAAATAATCTTATTCTCTTATTCAACATGCTTCTCTTGTCTTCCTGGTACAGGGAGAAAAAGTTTCCATCACTTTGACAATCCTACAGAGGAGGCGTCATCACTGATCTACAACTATACTCCTGTTTACAGTGCCAACATCAGTGCATACGACCAGCTGTACTTCTTTTGACTATCACCCTGCCGTGGCCCATTTTTGTACATGTGTGAATAAAACCATGTGTACTGTAACCCACTCTGTTGTACTCGGCCTACAAATGCTCACACATGGTGCCGTTATTAATGCTGCTGGGGAAGAAGATACATACGTAGGTAGTGTATGTCAAAAGACGTAGCAGTCAATTTACCAGAAAAGAGCAGCAGGTTGCGCATAAAAGCAGGTCAGTAGTTCAGGCGAACAATAACATACATGACCATGATCCAAATAAAGAGCAGGTGCAAAATCAATAAGTATTAAGGTACAGAAGACTAGTTGGATGCCTTTCACTCAAAATTAAAAAAAAAAACGACTAAATTATATTTTACACTATCATTAAACCGGACATCACTTGTTTCTCATGTGCACTATTGGAAAAAAAAATTAAACTTTATGCTGGCCTTGTGTTCTTATTTTATTTTAATTGTATAATATTTTTAAAAAATAGACTAAGATCAAGTACCTTTTATTCATAAGACACAACACAAGGGAATTTTCAGTGTAATAATAATTATCATCATCATCATGATAATCATAATAAACGGTTGTATTAGTAGAAGATGACGCGGATGTTCGCTGGGCGTTGTATTGTTCTGTTATAACGCCTATTTGTGGAGTAGGTGGGAGGAGAGACAGAGAGAGGGAGGGGTAGATAGAGCGCCAGTCAGTGTCTCTCTCCTTCAGATGATTCTGCTGCTGCTACTGGGTCACAGTTATATGCAGTCTATTATTAATAACAGTGAGAGAGTAGGACACAGTCCACTCTGCATACGTGAACTACAGGCGTTTCAATAATGTGAAATAAAGTTTCGCCTTTAACAAGTTGCTGCTGCTGTTTTACTTTATTTAGCTCATCGCTCAGCACAGACGGACAGAGACAGACAAGCTCCTGCTGCTGCTGCTGCTGCTGCTGCTGCTCCTGCTGCTGTTGGTTGTTGGGAAACACGGATCCCTCCGGCAAGGACTCCCTCTGGTGCATTGATGCACCCGTTCCAGTGGTGTAACGGTGAGCACGAATTTAGTTGCATTGTTATGATGTGTATTGCAGCTCGGGCCTTTGTGAGAACGGTGCCAGTGACAGTGTGTTGTTTTGAGAGAGAGCAGATTACAGAAGAGCAAGACGAGACAGCAGTTTCTGGATGTGTTTTTAATTTATCGTTCACGTCCACCATTTAAAACAAAACAAAACACACAACTCCCTTTCCCAGGAGGGGATATGTGTCAGTGATATCGAGTTTAAAGTGCACAATGTCTTAAGTGGAGGATGATATTTCTACTATTTTATGATAATGTTTTTGTTTTTTTAATAATGTAGTGAATGTTTAGCCAACATGCCCTTCTAATATCACATTTTTTCTATACATTAGCTTATTTACACTGACTTTTGTTGAGTTTTTCTTTTTTCTTTTTATGATGTCAATTACATTATGTAACCTTTATGTTAGTTGTGTAACATTAACATGCTAACAATACCACTATCATATTTACTATGACATCAGATCATTGATATTACGTTTAATATTAAAATGAACTCATTTACATGAACAAAACAAAACAAAACAAAAAACTCTTGACATTTGAATATTGTGTTAATATATTACTACACTGATTTACGCTGTTTTACATTGACATTTTCTCCCTTACATTTATAGTGGCTACTGCCCTCATTTGTTTACCATTGGCTCTAGCCCCTTCACAGCAACATTAACTTTTACACAGACATTAGCTTCTTGACATCACGTTAGCTCCTTTACCTACTTACAGTAGCAGTATTAAAATTGTCTACATTAACCTACATTAAGTACATTAACCTGTTTACATTAAAATTATATACACTCTTTTAAGTAAACATGGACTTGCTTTTATTAGCATTGCTACATAAATATCAGCCCCTGTATAATGGTGTTGGACGTTATGTACGTTACATTAACTATGACTGCTTCCTTTACGGTGCTTACACAGTAATAAGCTTGTCTATATTTACTGAGCTGCATTACGTTCTCATTAGCTTCTTTATTTAGCTTTATTAAAATCCATATCATTGTGCCCCATTAGCCTTGTTACCTTAGCCTGTTAACACAAGATAATTTACAGTTTCCCTTTTACATAGGCAGAGACATGTTTTAAATAGCATCTCAACATTGACTTTAGCTGCTTTACTTTGTAATGTTTTTAAAACGACAACTGGTTATTTTAGACATAATCCCCTTCACAATAACTCTTTAGCATTGACATTGGCTTCCGTACAAATTTAACAGATAATTCTAAATAATGGATCGGTAATTATCCACTTTTGTGATTTATTAAAAAAAAAAAAAAAAATCCCACTTTTTTTAACTAATGCCAAAACATAGTGTTCAAGGCTTTACACATGTAATCTAAATGCGTGCATATTTATTCGTAGAATGAGGGGTGGCTTAATCTAAAGACTTCTTTATTTTCATCTACCACACAAAGCCAGTCGTTGTGCTCTGTATGTAACGTTTGACTCTGCTAATCTTGTTGACATTGACTCACCCTCTCAAAAGTCTCTCTTATTCACTTATCTTGACCGCAGACATTTCTCTTGTATGAAATTGGCTTCTTCTAATATTAGGCAGTGCATTACTAGTGCTTGAACAGAAGCACTTCTTTCTTTGCTGTTATTTTTTTGTTGCCCAAGAGGTCCATTTTCCTGATGAGTTCTGAAGATGATGACAACAATGACGATGACGATGATGACGATGATGATGGATTAGCGGTGCTTTTTCCTCTGACTTGCATGTTTGAGCGGAGCAGTCACAGCACTCTCCTCTCTGCTTTTTCCTTTTGACTTGCATGTTTGAGCTCTCTGGAGAGGAGAGTGCTATTAGAATTGTTCTTCTAATTGTCAGTAGAAGAACAATTACTCTCTTTGTGCTGCTCAACTCCCCTGCTATTCATAGGGGAAATAGTGCACACAGACATACACACACACACAGAACACTGTAATTCTGTTGGACGAGGAAGCAGCATCAGCCAGCTAGGGCACTGTGTCAATTTATTTCCCAAATGATGGGTCATGACCCAAAAGTGGGTCATTGGAATACGCTTTTCTACATATGTGCTGCCTGGCACTTGTTTTTTTGGACTATATTGCCTGAATGTTTAAAAAAAGCCATATTACTGGGCTGATATTCTGAGTACAAATATCAGCCCATAAAATTGGGAAACAACAGAAGACTGAAGTAAACGGTGGTTTTCAAAGCTTAGTTGTTAGAGGAGCTTTAATTTTACTCCATGTCTTTCATTCTTTCCAAAATTGCTTTCTTCTTTTGAAACCATCATCAGCCATTCTGCAACGTGGTGTCAAGTGTTTCCCCCCTGCATGTGAAGTCCTGAATATTTAATATGGAGTTCTGTCTTTAGCGTAGCATCAGCAGCGAAAGACGAAGAGGCATCTTTGTTACGAGCGGAGCGAATGTAGGACAAAACCCCACCAGGCATTTCATAGGAGCTGTCGAGAAAGCTGACTTATTCGAGGTATTTCACGGCTTCGTCAGATCACAGAAGGAATTTTATGGCTTTCTGAGTAACAAACAACACATGTCCCAGTTGATGTGCAATATGCACTCTTTTCCTTAAAATGAAGACTTCCCTTGCCTGCTTTCATCCTTTCTCTGCATCTGTGACTCTCAGCGCCATGGCAACCGGGTGCCTCCTGAGTGTGCCAATATATAGGTCAGTGGTCATATGAAGCTCCGCCCAAAGAAAAATGCTACACGTAGCTGTCTAATTTCCATGCATGTAACAATGGAAGAGAAACAGTAATGATCGCACACACGCTCACACAAAGACGGCAATACAATATACACCGCTCGAGAGTGAGAGTACAGCAGCTTCACAGGTTGATTTATGCTGTCAGCTGTGCACTGATATGAATACAAGAACAGACTCATGTACACCCTCTCCTCCCCCTCCCTGCTGCCTGTGACTCTTTGTCTGCTGATGATGTTTGTGAGACACAGCATCTGACAAATGAACATGTAAACAAGAAAATTAGGTTGTTTGTTTTCACCTCTGAGTGTTTTCAGCTACAGTTGTGTACCACAGTTTCCCCTATTTTGTGATATTCATGGAACATGGAGCTTCCAGTTTGATGCAAATGTTGTTCACACTTTACACCAATGCACATGAGAAACATTGACTCCTTTTTATTTTTAAACCTAACCCTGTGTGAGAGTGGAAAATACCCAGCCAGGCTTTGGTAATTTACTGAATAACAACTCACTTTTCTTTTGTCATCTAATCTATTCCATTTTTTTTGTTTTTCAATCACATATCATACTGTTTTTTTAAGTAACTCCCTCTAAGAAAAAGACAAAAGTTAACTGAAAAGTTAGTTTTGTAAAGAAAAAACACACCCACATATTACAAGCTAATTTTAGCCTAAATAGCTTCAACTAGCCAAATGCTAACCAAAACTGAACCTTAGAAAACACGTACCCAGAAACAACTAAGCATCAATCAGATAACAAAACAACTTGAAATATGGATTTATATTCAAAACTGCTTGGCCACTTCGAGACCAAGTGTTCTGCATTAAAAGACAAGCGCGATGTTACGAGGACACTGCCAATAAAGCTGCATAAACGGAGGTTTAACGTTTATTATTATATTTAAAAAATACCAGTTTTTATGATGGTGGTATTGTTTTATTAAGTTGTATTTATCCAGCACACCTTAAAGGCTGGTTCGTGCAAAACAAATTCAGACAGTTAACCAGTCTGTGGCGAAAACAAGGTTGGGCATGAAATAGTGAGAGAAATGTAGCCATTTCTTTCAATGAAACTCCCATAGAGATGATTCCCACCCTGTTTTTCACATTTCTTGTTTCAACATTGTACTCCCAGTGACTGAAGCTAGATCGTTGTACTTTACAGTGCAAAAAGTGCCTTAAATGACACTATGAAGGTCTAGTATTACACTTACACTTCATCAGCTCAATGACAGTGTTAACGGCGGTTAAGGAAACTGCTCCTGCCTCTGGTAAATGATCACTTCTTTTTCTTACTGCTTGTTTCAAGAGAGTGGATTTGAGAGGCAGGAATTATCGATCCTGTCCTGCTGCAATTTTAACTGTGAGGCAGAAGAAATGTCAAAAGTACAAATGTGTGTTACTTTAGTAGTGTTTGGAAAATGCAACTGTTCGAAAAAAGGGCCTGAAGAAAACTATTTTAGCTACACACTTCCAATTAGATAAAGGTCTCCATCCATCCATCCATCCATCCATATGTGTCATTGACACATTCCTAGACAGGAAGTTCTAGAGTCTGCTGCTGCTTATTATAACTAAACAATACATCAGCAGATTCCATAGATTATCTTCAATTTGATGTGTTAATCATGGATTTGTCTTCTGTAACATTTGAACACAGTGAAATTTCTCAGACTCCGTCTCTTTCATTTGACTGAGAAGTTGATTGCAGCACATGACCATGAGGTCTGTCATTTCTAATTCACTATCACTCCCTGGGTGAGTGTGACCCTAATCTCTCACTCACAGATACTGACTTCACTCCTCCTAAACACACAAAATATGAGTTCACTGCCAAGGACAGTTGTCAGAAAAGACACGGGAGAAAAACAGTTTCTCACTTGTTCTTTCCCAGTCATTTGTGAATATATTTTTACAGAAACAGATAATAATAAATGTTAGGATGCAATATGATATGCACTTGGCCATTAGGCCCTTGGTCTGTATTGAGTTAGCAATAGCTGTAATACTAGCTTCTTGGGTTTAGGACTATTTTAAAACAAAACCCACTGTTGCTTCACTGTCTTCTTTACTGGATCATATTAGACGGAAATACCACCTAGTACTTTATATCTACATGCATATCAAAAGGAAATGGAACATTAGCTCAGAGAAGTTTTACTTTGGCTGGAAGATTTGGACTGTATTTGTGAAGAGTCCAGCATCTGTAATAATATAGTGATAACATAGAGCTATGGCTTTCACCTTTTGTCATTCCAATATGTTTGACTTGCACTGACCTGTTGACAGTGATATATGTGTATTTGTTGTATCAAGAGATACAGGGCTGTCATTTGGATACTGCATTAATTGTGACTTCCATGAATCTCAATCTCATGTCTGTTTGAAGAGCTGCTATGGAACTCCCGTGTGTTTTTAGTACAAAGAAAGAATTGTGTGTGTGCAGTGTATTTTACATTCTGCATCAACTTTTCTGCTTTCTTTCTTCTTTTTAACATTTTTTTTAAATTATTGTTTAGGGTGCTTCTGTGGTCTGGGACTGGCCTATACCAATAAAACGTGCACCATGCCACCCATCACATTCCAGGACCTGCCTCTAAACATCTACATGGTGATCTTTGGGACAGGCATCTTTGTCTTCATCCTGAGCCTCATCTTCTGCTGCTACTTCATTAGGTGAGAGGCAACACACTTAGAAATATCTGACAATGAAACAAGCTGCAGGGGGTGAACAAAACAAGAAAACCAAAAAGTAACGTCGCCTTTAAGGGCTTTGCGTATGTGTTTCCTGCGCATGTGTGTCACAATCACACAAAATGCTGACTCCTCAGTGTGAATGTGAGTGTCAACAGTTGTTATTCTCTTCGTGTTGCCTCTGTGACTGGTGACCTGTCCTGGATGTGCCAATATAATTCACACAAAAAAACAAAAAAAAAGGAAGAACAAATCAAGTCCCTGACTGGTTCCAAAAGTTTCTCTCTATCAATAAATGTCATTAGGAAGAGGAGGCTGCTTCTCAGTTATCATATTTGTGAACATTTGAAATTGAGCTCATAAATTCATTGTAAAATGTGTACTAATTAGCTTGAAACAAGCTAATTGCGCTAAATAATTTTTTAGATTACAATATAAATGCATATTAATGCATGGGCAGAATGACAGGCTGTAGATCTAATACCATCATCCGTCTGTTGTTGCTCTAATACAGTAATTGGACATGCATCAAAGTTCATCCATCCATTCATCCATTCTCATCTATTTTATCCATTACCGTGTCGTGGGGGCAGCAGTCTCCACGACCGCCGCCCAAATCACATTGCACCGTACAAACCACCCCGGGTGCTGAGTCCACTGGAAGGTACCAACCTCTCTAACTGTGATTCGATCTTGCCCAGGAGGTGAACCCTGGGGTTCCACACTAATGACAGAGACATTGCCTGTGGGCCAAAGCACCACTGCATCAAAGTTGCTTCTGACAAAGGGAGAACAGAGGACCTATGTCTAGAATCTCGGCTGTAGACCATATGTGTCAAACTCGAGGCCCGGGGGCCAAATGCAGCCCAAGCTGTATTTTGTGCCCCTTCAGGAGCTTAAAAAGCATCTAGTAGTCCATGCAAGAAATTAAACGTTTTTTTTTAATTACACAGCAATAAACAATATTTGTAGCTTGAATAAATAATAATCAATTGCAGAAACATGTATCAGTCTGTTATGGAGTAGTTACATCTATACCAGTGGTCACTGACCTTTTTTGTTCCAAGAACTGGTCAGCCAGTACCATCTGTTATTACAGACCACTAATAAGGTACTGAGCATTGAAGGATCAATACATTTTCAAAATCAAACATCTTTTAGACTCTGTTCTGTTTGTATCAGAGTTGAATGACCTATTATTTTAAAATATTGTCAGATTATCTTTGAATAGAGAAAGTAAATGGATATGACTGGATTTTCCTTGAATTAAGTAAATTAGTAAAAATTAAGTACATTTTTTTTACTGTGTCCCACTGTGGCCCGGTACCAAATGACCGCCGAACTGGTACTGGTCCATGCACCAGGGGTTGGGGCCCATTATATATACAGTCTTTCTTTTACAATCGGCCGTTGAAGGGGAACTGTATTGATGATGTGGCCCCCGGTGAAAATGGGTTTGACAACCCTGCAATAGACTGACTGCAATGTTCATTTTTTGTGCAGTTAAAGGTGTGTAAGGTCAGGTATTGGTGAATATATTTGTGAAAGAAACACATTGAAAACGCATAAAAAAGTGTGTTATCACCATTAAAACAGCCCAGTTCTGTTATTACGAGTTTTACCTGCAGTATATCTATAATTAGCTCTCGATTGAAAACCTTGCAACTGCAACAGTGCATTGCTCAACAGCAAATATCACTAATTCAAAGTTCATCTGATAAACTGTTCCGCTCAGACCTACGCAGACAAGACAACGCAAACAAGCTCCTTTAGCGCTTGTTTGTTTTGTGACCAATCGTGGCTCTTAATCTGCACCCAGCGTGATACTGATATTTCAAAAATAGCAGGAACCAATGTGTTTAATTTATTAAAAATGATATATATATATAAAAAAAGAGAGGCTGCTAAGTCTTATTTAGAATTATTACATCATGTCGAAATATTTGTCCTTATTTATGAAGCTTTAAAAAACAGACTTTTTTTTTAATGTGCACCATTTTTCAAGTTGTTTTACAAACTGGTTTTGCCGGGATTGTTAATTAATATCGCGCTTTGGCCCAGAGGCAATGTCTCTGTCATTGGTGTTGAACCTCAGGGTTCACCTCCTGGACAAGATCAAATCCCGGTTAGGGAGGTTAATACCTTCCAGTGGACTCACCACCCGCAGGAAGGTTTGGGGGGGTTGGTACGGTGCAGTGTGATTTGGGTGGTGACTGCTGCCCCCGCGACCCGGTAATGGATAAGCGGATGAAAATGGATGGATGGATGGGACACTTCTTTGTCTGTTTTTCTAAGAGTTTACAGATTCAATGCAATAAATAAAGAAGCCACTGTGAAGATTCTATACTGTACATTGTTACCTATTATTTTTCCCTTGGATTTTTCCCTTGTCGTAGATCACGGTGTGTAGGAGAAGCTAAAGTTTCCTGCAGGTGCCATGAAACAATAAAAAAGTTTTACCCCCGAGACACAGTTTGAATTCTACATTTAAACATGACACACACTATTGTGAGGGTTCTACTCCAGAGTAAGGAAGGAAAACTAAAAGAAAACATCAGATATAAATTTAAAGCAATACTGTATCACATTTATATTTATTAAACTGTATGGAAGAATCATCTTAAATATTTGTTGGCACATTCCACATAAATAGTCCACACCAATTTATTAAACATTTGTCTTTCCAAAAATGCAAATTTTGGCAATTTAAGTGTAATTTAATGCAAAGCTGGTATATGGTTAGCTGCTTAGTAATTTGTACAAGCTGTGTTAAATGAACCGAGTAGGATATGTTTTGGTGAAAGAGGAGTCCTATAAAGTAACACTGCTGTCTCTACAAACACCCAGAGCAGGGAAACACAGCAGTGAAGGGGGTTGAGAAAAAAAAAATCACAGGAACAGTGTGACCTCTCCTGCTGCTGACTGTGAACTCCCTGATGAGCTAAGGAGACGTTTGTGTCTGAAGGACAGGAAATGAGGCAACAGGAAACAGCCTGTCACAATGTGGTGGACAGAGGAAAACTAAAGAAGAGCTCTGCTCAGAACAAACAGCCCTAAACAGCAAACAGTGGGAGGCCACAATAATCATTACATGTGAAGGTCGACTGTGTGAAGAACTTCATCAGGAAACACCATCACCTGCAGTGAGACTTGTTTTAACTTCCTGAGCTAAGTTTGGCAAAATTACCTCATGTCACACCTGGTTGGGGAGATTATAACATAGAGTAATTGGTTTAAAGCTCTTTAGTCCTAAAAACAACAGAGAGTTGAGGTCAACATCTGAACTACTGGTCAATATAGTTTCTAAAGACAAGAATTCCTAAATTCCACCTGCCCCCATCTTCACCACAGCCAATATCACATCTCACACAGATTGAACTTACACCAGGTAATATTTTATAATGCATCAAAATCAATAACATAAAACAATGCAAAGCTCAATAAGAGAAAATAACAATGGAATTGTGCCATCCTCACTTGAACCTTCAAAATGGCCTCCCATTGGTTGCTCCCCACCTATTATATCTCTGTTCCCCACCAGGGGGGCTGCTCCACACTTTGAGAAGCACTGCTTAAACAGTGATAAAAAATAAAATTAGCCACTCAAGTCAAAACAATCATAAACAATAAGTGTCAATCTACAGCTCAGACATGGTTCAGTCACCCTGTAAACACTGTCTACCTTTTTTTGGAACTACATGTCTGTCCTGCTGCTGTAACAAGTGAATTTCCCCAGTGTGGGATGAATAAAGTCTTATCTTATCTTACAAGTTATGTTCCAACTTGGGCTGACCATTAATACAATGACCATTGGCTTCAACAGAGAAGCTTCCAGAGCCACCTGTTTTCTTTAAAAGCGCTCGTCTCTGAATCACAACCAGTGACTCACTTTCTGTCGTGCACATTAACATGCTGGAGGTAGTCATCAGTAGGAGTGTGATTGTGAATTCTTTTATAGAATGGCTGATTCATCGGAGGCACACTGAGTGATGAATGCCAGTCTCTGCTGAGGCCTTGTTCCCAGGTCTCAGAGAGTCTCAGCCTCCCTTTGTGTTTGGGAAGTTGGGGTTTTTAATAGCATGAGATGAAGTGTCTCTGTGTAAGGGTTCCTCCTGTGATTACATTCAGCAGTTACTGTACAACAGTTCATCTGAGGAAATTTGGTGGAATTTACTCCGCAAACACACTCATTTCTATTTCCAGTATTCCTCGACAAATGAGTCTGTCAAGAAGAGCCCAAACCACAGAGGTGACAGAAATATCACTTCTTAAATTACACTTTCTTATTCCAGACTCTTAACCAGATGGTTAGATATTTTGAGAAACCACGAGGTTCAGAGTCAAGCTCAAAAGGTTTCTACCAGATACCACCAGAAAGAGTTCATCTATAATATGATTTTGTTATTGAAAAACAATTATAAAAGCAATAAGTATGACCCACTATATCGTGATGTACTTTTAAAACAGCACTGAAGCCATAACCAATTTATTTAATATAGAAAGTGTAAATAAACGTCTTTAACAGGGTGAAAACAAAAAAATCACAGCCTCCAAATGATTGTTATAATTGCTCCCAAGCTTCTTGTATCGGCAGGAATTCTGGACCGTTCCTTATTTGCAAATGTTTCCAGATCTTTCCTCGCTGTCACACATTTCTTCAGCTCCATCCATAGGTTCTTGATCAAGAATCTTGATGTACTGCTCTTTCCTCATGATTCCTTCCACTTTAACCAAGTTGCCAGGCTTAAGTATAGGTGAACACGATTTAAAAGATTGTTCCAAATATAAGGTCAGAGACCCCGAAAAGTCCAAACAGTTCTATGTTTCCCAAGAGACTTTTCTGGGTCTCTTTGACCTTATCTTTGGAACAAGTTTCTTCAGTTGCTGTTTTTAAATCTTTTAAAAATCTTGAGCTTTTCAAGAAAGAGAAGATTCAAGAATCTTATTATTAAATTAGAAGTTTTGGTTTTGGTATAAATCATTTGGGATAATAATATTATTATAAAAACAATAATAATAATAAAATGGCGAGAATAAGAAACCTTTAATCATTTCATTTCAAAATACTCTAATTCGTTTATTGGGGCAATTAGAGGCACACTGAGCTGTAGTGGAAGATAATTGCAGTTGTTTAGTCCCTGCTGATTTTTGAGGCAAACCTTTGTCACTATAACGACCAATGCTCTTAGAATTTGCAGGTTGTTTCTCAGAATGTTGCAGGTAAAGTTGGAATATTTCAAAAAATATTTCAAAAGCAGACAAATACGAATCAAGGTGTTGAATTTAAAAATGAATACGAAAAACAACATAACAATGCAAGTTTATTTTATGTTGATTATTGAAAACGGTTCACCAAATCCATACCGAATTATTTTGAAAAATAACGAATCAACTTAAAGTGCACATGCGCACAGACAAGCTCCATTTTAGGTCACTACATTCTCACATGCGTCATAAAAACCCAGTTTATTTCTGCACTTGCAGTTGCTTTGGACGTGACTGCTTCTGTGGTGTTTTTTTTTTTTTTCTTTTTTCTTTTGTCTCCACAGTTGCGCCTGGGTTTCTGCTTATTTTCTCCACTGCTAATGTTCAGCAGAGGTGAAATGCATGTAAAGCGACGACACTGCATACTTAGCAAAACGCAGCAGTCTCTATGACAACCACCCAAATCACACTGCACCGTACCAACCCCTCTCCCCCCTAAACCTTCCTGCGGGTGGTGAGTCCACTGGAAGGTACCAACCTCCCTACCCGGGATTTGATCTTGCCCAGGAGGTGAACCCTGGGGTTCCACACCAATGACAGAGACATTGCCTCTGGACCAAAGCGCCACAATATCAACATATTACAATTTCAATTTTTTTTTCCTGTAACGTAACATATAACAAGTTTCTTTATAGCAGTTCACCTTTAGCCACATTTCCTGGGCAAATGATTAATGTGTATTTTCTTATTGTTTTGTGGATTATGCGATGGCACATTCACCTTTACTCTCAAATGTTTCATTGCCTCAACTTTCCAGCTCTATCCAGAAACACTGTTGGGCATTTGTGTCTATGTATAGTCTTTAAAAAACAGTAGACCAAAAATAACTGCCTGGACAGACACAGCTCGTCAAGCGATAAAGATCTCCTCTCCATTGTTGTTTCTGGGGCGGTGCGGGGATTCAAAGAGGCAACATGCTCATTATCTGCCTTTGTGTGTATGTGTCCGTGAGTGTGTGTTAACACTGTGTGTGCTCTTTTGGGATCAGTAAGTACGAACAATGATTGTGTATTTGCAGGGGAGTGTGTGTTTGTCGCCAGCAGCGTGGCTGCTGTTACAAACCCTGGAATTTCAAAGCTATGGCTACAGCCGCACAACTTTAACCAGACAAACTTAAATTTCGTGAGTGAATCCACTGACCTGCTGTTTAACAGAGTGAAAAGTAAATATAATTGGACGTGACTGCTTCTGTGGTGTTTTTTTTTTTTTTCTTTTTTCTTTTGTCTCCACAGTTGCGCCTGGGTTTCTGCTTATTTTCTCCACTGCTAATGTTCAGCAGAGGTGAAATGCATGTAAAGCGACGACACTGCATACTTAGCAAAACGCAGCAGTCTCTATGACAACCACCCAAATCACACTGCACCGTACCAACCCCTCTCCCCCCTAAACCTTCCTGCGGGTGGTGAGTCCACTGGAAGGTACCAACCTCCCTACCCGGGATTTGATCTTGCCCAGGAGGTGAACCCTGGGGTTCCACACCAATGACAGAGACATTGCCTCTGGACCAAAGCGCCACAATATCAACATATTACAATTTCAATTTTTTTTTCCTGTAACGTAACATATAACAAGTTTCTTTATAGCAGTTCACCTTTAGCCACATTTCCTGGGCAAATGATTAATGTGTATTTTCTTATTGTTTTGTGGATTATGCGATGGCACATTCACCTTTACTCTCAAATGTTTCATTGCCTCAACTTTCCAGCTCTATCCAGAAACACTGTTGGGCATTTGTGTCTATGTATAGTCTTTAAAAAACAGTAGACCAAAAATAACTGCCTGGACAGACACAGCTCGTCAAGCGATAAAGATCTCCTCTCCATTGTTGTTTCTGGGGCGGTGCGGGGATTCAAAGAGGCAACATGCTCATTATCTGCCTTTGTGTGTATGTGTCCGTGAGTGTGTGTTAACACTGTGTGTGCTCTTTTGGGATCAGTAAGTACGAACAATGATTGTGTATTTGCAGGGGAGTGTGTGTTTGTCGCCAGCAGCGTGGCTGCTGTTACAAACCCTGGAATTTCAAAGCTATGGCTACAGCCGCACAACTTTAACCAGACAAACTTAAATTTCGTGAGTGAATCCACTGACCTGCTGTTTAACAGAGTGAAAAGTAAATATAAGTAAATTCTTAAGCATTTTGTAAGAAAGTGGAAAGGTCGAGTAACAAGTAAATTCAGTTACATACTCTTGTTACAAAGAGAAAAATACAGTGATTTATCTGTTGTTGCCCTCAGGTCAAAATTACTTCAACAAACATCCTGCATTTTTACATTTTTACCAGATAAGGAACAAATATTTAAACATTGAATAGACAGAGTATTTGTAGTTCCTTCAACAATGATATCAGGTTAATATTGTACTGAATTTTTCAACCGTTACTGTGAAAAACCAAGTTTAAATGTAATCCTTAATCTTAGTTTTCTGTATCTTTGTGGGTAGGTTAAATTTTATATTATAATTTAATGCTATAAATGAGGCTTATTTTTACCTGGGATTTTCCTTTAGTAGACCAATTTTCTTGTAAGCAGACAAACAGAACCAGTGTGGACAGCTGTTCAATAGGAGCCTTGTTGCATCATTGAATGTCACCATTGTCACTCAGTCAACAGTGTCTTTGTGAATAGTTCTGTTGTCAACACACACTGTGTTGACAACTTAAATCCATCCTGTCTTGTTTCATCTCATGTTTTCCTCTAAATTCAATTATAAAAGGAGTGTTAAATTAATAATGTCTTAGATCAGCGATAGAGAAAAATATGGATAAAACCGTTTCACTAGGGTTTTAATTTTAATGAGAATAAAAATGTAGTCACAGGCTTACCTTCATTTGGAGGCTACAGGAGAACTCCCGCTCTTTTTCAGCCTTGATTTTAATTAATCCCATTCCTTCTAATTATAATAGGCTGTTTAATGACAACAAGATAATGAAGTAGAAACATTGTAGGTTAAAAATATAGTGAGTAGAAATACTCGGTAAATAATAACACATCACTGACTTTTTCTTTTTCGAAAATCCATTGCAGATTGAGTACCATAATGCTAAACAGTTTGTGCTTGAACTACTAACAGTCAGATGTAATTATTCATAAGTGTTTGCTCTCTGTCTATCTGCAGCAAACTACGGCACCAGGCCCAAAGGGAGAGGTTCGGATACAGAGAGGTGAGATTCATTTAGTTTTAACAAATTAAGATAATTTTAATCGTAATTTCCAAAAAAATATTTCTGACACATTTGGGGGTTTCCTGCAGGTTGTTTTAAAAGGAGATCCAAAAAAGTTGAATCTTCATGGGGTAAGAATGTACCTGTGCAGACACAGAAGCTAAACAGTGACCCATGTTGACTTCTATCTGTGTTTGTCTCACTGCCCCTTCATGCAGCAGACATGTGCCGTGTGTTTGGAGGACTTCAAAGTGAAAGACGAGCTGGGGGTGTTGCCATGCCAACATGCTTTCCACAGAAGGTGAATGCTCCCCCCACCCCCTACTTTGCACTCTCCCTCCTGTTCTTGTCAGAGGAAACTGATTAAAATCTGAAATTTAATGATGACATTTGTTCCTGACTGAAATAATTTTTGTTTACAGATCCCTTGATTGACTCTGCCTGATTATTGTTAATCAGGCACAGTCAGGACTACAGGGGTTTTGTGTGTTCTTTGGTAGACAGCAGGTAGTACAGGCAGGATCTTGTAGCACAAACCCCAGGGGCAAATCATGGCACTTGGACTTGATCAGTGATTATAAAGATTAAACACTAGAGAGAAAACAAGAGGTACTCAGGTTTTTTTTTTCCCTCACTGTGTTAAAACATGCTCATTAGGAGATTAGGTTGAACAAACACTGTTAATTGACCCTAGGTTGGACTGATTGCTTGTCTCTATAAGTGGCCCTGTGATGGTCTGGCACCCTACATGTGGTATTGGCTCTAGCCTGACCCAGCAAATTACGGGACGGTCACGCCCATTTTACAGTCATTTCAGCTACTGACACTTTTTACATAGCACAGTGGTACTTATGCAAGTTTTACTTTTCCCAACCTTTTTGTAATTTTTATTTTCACGTTTTTCTGTGAAATTATATAAGGTGGCGTTTGGCCTATATTTGTCTACCCCAAAAAATGATTAATTGATGATTGTCTAGACCTGAAGATTGTACTCTGATGAACACTTCAAAAAAACGGCCTCTTTTATTTTTTTGTATTCTCTGCTCAGGTGCCTGGTGAAGTGGTTGGAGGTTCGCTGTGTCTGCCCCATGTGCAACAAACCCATCGCTGGCCCCCCTGAGCAGCACCACAGCATAGGGACTCTACTGGATGAACTGGTGTAGCTGTCCACGCCTGCCGGACAGGCTGGAACACTATCAGCCAGTGACCAAATGTGAAACTGTTCTGCAATTAAAAAATGCAGCAAAACAGCTCCATTATGACAGTGGTGGTAACTTAGGTACCACCCAGAAAAAGAATAAAAATATGTTGTTGCATAGCAACTGGCTTCGAAATGGCAACATGACACCTGTGGCAGCAGAGATGTTTTTTTTTTTCCTGCTGCCCACGCATCACTTCATTTCTTTTTTATTATCCCTCTGTTCACACAGTTCTTCACATCTTCTCCCGCTGCCCAGAGTGATGCTAATGGTACCAAAGTGGAGAAGATGTTGTTTCAATCTCCACAGTGATGTGGACAAATCAGTGCTGAAGGACGTAGCAGGAAGATCCTCCCCAAGCAAGTGTTTCTATGACTATGACTATGACTAGAAATTAAGATTGTCTGCACCTATTTAAAAACAAGAACCCTGGTGGTTGCACATTTAAACAGGTTACATTGCACATTGTGAGAGTTATTATAAAAAACTCCTGAAGCACAGAAAATCTGTTACACAGTTCACTGGGGGTGAAGGTGGAGCATGCTGGACTTTTTCAAATAGAATAAAAAAGATCATCCCCTTACTCGCTTTAATGGACCACTAAGAGTTACTGCCAGCTGTCCACATGTATATCCATTAGTATTCCACTTTGTTTTAGGGTAGTTTGAAATATTAAAGTGTCTACCAGCAGAAATTAGACTGATAGGTTGCAGTGATGCAACCTCCCACCATGACAGCAGCTGAAAGAATCTAAAAAAAATATAAGGAAAGTGCTGGTGGAAGGAGCAGAGACGGCTCACAGACTGACAGTATTCACTATTCCAAGCTATCAAATCTTGTTATCAGCTAATTCTAAAGCGGGGGTGGACCTGGAAACATTACTTACTTAATTGTGGTTTATGTTTCAAAAGAGTGCATAACTAAGGTAATGTTGCATCCAGCTGTGTAACAGCAGAACCAAACTTCAAATTGTGGTCCTAAGTCTTTGATTTTCATAAAACAATATATTTCCACCACTAAAATTAATGTCCAGTATTTAAAAAATTAAACATTGATCACAGCTCAATCTGCTAAAAAGGAACAAGTACAATACATGGACCTAGTTCATGGACAAGGGTGTTTCAACAGTGTTAATAGCACCACCTGCTGGGAGGAGAAGGGACAATGCAACTCAATACATTGACTAAGGCTTTTAAAGAATAGTCACAGCACCACCTACAACGAAGGAAGAGGCAGCTCCACCTAATTTATGCACCAGGCCTTTTAAACAGTGTTTAAAGCACCGCCTGCTGGAAAGGCTAGGGAGCTGCATGTTGTTTGAAAACACTAACCAGAAACATTTTGAGCCTACGCTAGTCTTTAACGTCGCAAATGTGAATGACTTGACAGAATGATTATGGATGAAATACATTCATGTCTAATCTGATTTAAAGGATTTATTTTTCCAACAACTAAATCAGTGTTTTGTTTTTTGCTCATTTTACTGAGAGTAAAAAAAACACGTATTTACTACTTGTGCAGGTATACATTCTATATTTGACGTCCTGTACACCAGGGGTGTCCACACTTTGTTGGCTTGGGATCTGCTTTTCAACTGACCAGACCAAGGTGATCTACCTACACTGATAACATTTAATATATACTTAGTCATATGAGCTGAATATATGTTGATTAAATAGGTGTAGCTGTATGGCACAATATGATTCAATTATTGTAATGTTGCTAATCTAGTTCTAAGATTTATATATTTATATATATATATATATGTATACATATATATATGTATATATATGTACATGTATGTATATATATGTATATATATATATATATATATATACATACACGATCCAGATGTTCTGTCGCTGAGACATGTTTTACTGTGTCAATATTAGTTCCTGTGTGGCTTCTTTGTGGGATAACAACTTTTTTATTCCTAGATATTGCACTTGCACTAAATCCACCAAATGGAACTTCTATCCTGTCATGACAAATGTTGGCACAGAGTCTGACCTCTCGTTTTCAGATGTGAAATAGGTGTTAGAGTCGCTGCTGTTTGCTTCTACATTGTTCACCTGGTCTGTGAAAGTGCCTCACTCTCATTTCTACACGTACACGTTTTGATGTGTCGTAACTGGTGACTCTGGTTCACTGCCGTGGTTGTGGTTAATTGTAAAAGTACAGTATGTTGTTCCGGGAAGCGAGACACTGCCAAAATTGAGCACAAGATTCACAACACACACTGTAGGTAAATGCCAAACACACAGACACACACTCTCTCTCTCTCTCTCTCTCACACACACACACACACACACACACAAAACTGAACTGTCTCAATCTCAACGAGAGAGTGAAGGAAATGTTCACTTGGATTCCTACGACATTCCATGTTTTGTATGGCAAGATGTAAATAGTTTGAAAAAATAATGAATAAAATGTCTCTGTCTTTGTGTTAATTCTTGTTCTTTGGGTGTTTTTTTTAAGTCCTAATACCTATGTGTATAGTGCCACCACTTGATGAAAAATATATTGCAGGTACACTTTCCATCAGGTAATTTCTGCTTATGAAGTATAATGAGAGACTGTTATTTAAATTTGTTTGATTATCATTTTTTATTTCTTGATTTTTAATTATTGACTATTTCAATATTAAAATAAAAACTGCTGATAATAGGCATCTAGGCACTGATGTGACCTTAGTATTGTTGGGTGTTGGTCTAAACACTGACATTTGACTTTTTGTTCAAATGTTAGACCTTGTGAACTAATGTGGACAAAAAAATGCCAGTCGCTGCCAGCTATTCATTCAGTCAAATTTGATTCCAAAATGTGATGAAAATATAAAAAATTGAAAATCCCTACATAATAAATCTATGAAATAATATTTAATGCACACATACGGAGTGTGGTAAATGCACTGAATTTCTGAGATCATAAAAAAACAAAACAGCAGAGTTCAGCCTAGTGTGGAGTTAGAACCCAGGAGCTGACACCATCTGCACGCCGCCTTATAAAATGTGCAAGACCCCATCCTATTGGTGGGCTCTGACTGGTACCCAGCTATTTCTCCTCATCAGAATGTAGATGCCGGCGCACCGGGGCAGTTCTTACTCTGCATGCCTTTAATTAAGGAATGGAGCCTCAGACGTCTGAGGTATCACGGGGTCGGATGGAGAGAGGAGAGAGAGGTGCTGGAAAAGGTGGAGACTGAATGGAGAGAGTCTGGGAGAAAAGAGGAGGAGGTTCTCTGGTCCACTGCTGTGAGGGTCACTTCAGTGTGCAGGTTTTAAGAAACTTTTTTACATTTTACATTTCTGGTCAGATTCAGATTTTCTACACGGTGCATCAACTGGACTTTAAAGATCAACAAACTTGGAGAGGTTCTTGTTTTGACCTGAAACAGAGACAGACACAGCTGAAGATGTGTGTTGACCTTCCAATCCAAACTTTCTTTCTGGTTTGCAGCTGGTAAGAGTCACTAAATTTATTTATTTATTTTAAAGTATTTAATTTTGATGGAGTGTAAAATGTTGATGTTACAGCAGTAATTGACTTCTTCAGCTGAAATCTCAGTTTCACCATTAATCTGATGATGCTCTCTGTCAACATACGTCTCTGTGAGCAGTTACTCCAGCTTAAGATGAATAGATTTGTAGGCAGTTTGATTTGTTGATAGGCGGTGAAGTGTGGGCCGTGAGAGGTGATAACACAGGTGTTTTATTAAAGCTGGGGCTGTGGAACGACTTAATGAGACAACAGAGTCCAGAACCAAGAAGAAATGTTTCATTAAAAATACTGATTATATTCATGCACTGACTCTATGACTGCATGGTATTACATACAACCACTACATGTTCACACACACACACACACACACACACACATACTTGGGTGGACCTGGAAACATAAGCAAGTCTTTCATGAGATCAGCCTCTACCTGAGCAATAAAGAGCCAACTGTGCTGTGAATAAACTGATGATGGCAACACTCGCACACACACACAGATACACACAGAGAAATGCCTGTTTCTGTCAGTTCCCACCTTCAGTTTGGTGGTGCTCAGAGTGAACATGAGGTCAGGTTTTTTTTTTCTTTTTCTGTGTATAAACAGAAACCAAGTGAACGAACAGAGGAGAGGTAGAAGGAGAGAGAGAGAGAGAGAGTTGGAGAGAGTGGGTTACATGTATATGTATATATATGTATATATATATATACATATATATACTGTACAGTATATATACATATATGTAGAGTTATAAGCAATGGGTAAATTTAACTATTTGTTTGTGATTAAATTTTACTCTATGTGCCAGTACTCAAGCACCCCACTAGGTGGCAGTTTCAAACTCAATAGGTTACCATGCTAAAATTGTTCCTTTTGTCTGACAACATGAAAACATGTTTAACTTAGACAACCAGTTAGTCTGAAGATCAGTTATGCTAAGCTACTCTGACTACTCTGAAATACTGCAGTAGACGCCTCACTGTATATTTGTTTCATTCTAGGGCCTTCTGAATTTAAATAGATCCAAAAGTCTCATGGAGATGAGCAGACAGGTCGATGACATGAAAAACATGGAAGGACATTTTTAATTTGCACAAATGTTTGGAAGGTGAATCTCCTCATGACCGGTGCACAGAAACCTCAGCTGTTTAGAGTTTGTTTCAAAGACAGTCCACTATGTTTACACGGTGGCTGCTGGCCCTGGTGGCCCGCGTGGGCCTCATCGTTGTGGGGCTCTGCTGCTGTTTGTCCTTGTTCTACCTGCTGGCCTGCAAACCTGCGTCTTACGGCCACCAGCAGTCTTTGTTGTGGTCTGGAGGGGCCAACAGTAAGGAAAGATACCTGGCTCTTCTGCAGGAGAGGGAGGACTCTCACAGGCATTATATCAACAGTCTGACCAAGCAGATTACCCAACTGAAGGAGGCACTCCAGGAGAGGACGCAGCAGCTCCACGAGTCTCTGGACAAAGCAAAAAATAAAGGAATCCTGCCTCAGGGTCTGGAGAGTTTGCACAAAACCCCAACACAGTCTGACCTCAAGGTTTGAAAGAACGAGTTCATAGATGTAGAAAATACAAAGAATCACTGGAGGCCAGCGTGGTTCAAACTGAGGAAACAGAAACAGATTCTCCAGCTTAATGGAAGATGGATAGATAGAAGGATGAATGGATGGATGGATGAATGGATGGATGGATGGATGGATGGATAGATAGATAGATAGATAGATAAAATAAATAGATAGATAGATAGATAGATAGATAGATAGATAGAAGGATGGATGGATGGCTGGATGGATGGGTGGTTGGATGGATGGTTGGATGGATGATGGTTAGTTGGTTGGTTGTTGGATGGTTGGATATATAGATAGATAGATAGATAGATAGATAGATAAAATAAATAGATAGATAGATAGATAGATAGATAGATAGATAGATAGATAGATAGATAGATAGATAGATAGATAGATAGATAGATAGATAGATAGACAGATTAAATGCAGTGATGTCACATGATGCATTGTCATTTTTCGATCACATCCTGCAGGAGTTTTTTCATTCCCAGCTGAACCAGGCAGAGGTCAGCTCAGGTGTTAAGCTGTCCAGTGAATACGCCGTCATTCCTTTTGACACATTCACTCTGCACAGGTGAGTCCTAGAAACACTTAATAATTCTAATTCTAATACAGAGTCACAGTGCTGCCTCTTAAAAGAGTGACTTCTTGTTTTGTTTTTTGTTTGGTTTTTTCTTGCATTTGTCAGAGTTTTCCAGCTGGAGACGGGGCTGACAAAACATCCTGAAGAGAGGCCTGTGAGAAAGGACCGCAGGGACGAGCTGATCACCACAGTGGAGACAGCGCTGCATGTCCTAAATGGACCTCATCAACACACAGACCGCAACAGGGGGAAGAGAACGTTCGGACCGTCAGACTTCATAGAAGGTGAGAAATAGAAGACATCAATGATTCACACCTTAAAGTTCATGTTTCTCACATGTTGGTTTGTATTTGTCATTTCATATTCACTGCTGTCTCTAAGTGCTGAACTGTTCTCCACAGGGATAACTCGTACAGAGAGGCACAGAGGAACCACTTATGAGCTGACCTTCAAAGGCAGCAGCCCACAGGAATTCACTCAGCTTGTGCTTTTTAGGCCTTTTGGTTCCGTAATGAAAGTTAGGAGTGAGATTGTGGACACGAGCAGAACACTTATCAACATCATTGTACCTCTCTCTAAGAGGCTGGACGCTTTCAGGCAGTTCATTGGTAATTTCAGGTATCATCTGACATCTTTCAGGTATTATTGTCCTGGGACATAGGTGGCGGTATATTTTAAATTGTTTACTCTTGCTTGGACAGCTAAATGTATCACCAGAGGCAGAGGATAACAAGTGATGCCTTCACTTGTCATAGGAAAAACCCAGAGGGCAAGTGGCCTCTCCCATCAGTCAAAAATCATTCAAAAAAAATCATCATAAAGCCCCTCATTTCTGGATCCATACAGTTCTCCCTTTATTAAAAGTCAATACAAATGGGAAAGATATAGGGGGTGGGGGGCAGAGAAACGTATCTCGTTCTCACGAGATACTTTCTGGTGCTCACGAAAAAGTATATCTAAGACATTTTGCCACACATACATACAGGGTAATACAAAATCTAAGATACCGGCAAGTCATGCGTAACATATGTACTGTATATATGGTAAGCATTACGTGAAAGTTATCACGAAATACACTGGTCCCTCTCCTGTCGCAGTCGCTGCAAGTAGAGTCGAGAGAGTTGTTAATAATTTACGTATATACGTATTACCGTTCACGAACCTCCCTACACTGTTATCAACAGTCGAACAACAACAACAACAACAACAGTGCCCTCCAGTGTCTAACTGAGGTACCCTACATTAATTAAATGCACCATATACTGTATACAGTACATACACTGCCTGGCCAAAAAAAAAGTCGCCACCTGGATTTAACGAAGCAAATAGGTACAAGCCTCCTGTTGGATAATTACTGCATGGACGATTATCTTTCAGCTGGAAACAAGTTATTTAACCCCAACTGGTGCAATGAGTTGCTTCTCAATTCCTAAACAACCATGTCGAAAGACACATCCCGTGGTCGTGGAAAAGATGTTAGTCTGTTTGAGAAGGGTCAAATCATTGACATGCATTAAGCAGAGAAAACATCACAAGGAGATCACAGAAACGACTAAAGTTGGGTTAAGAACTGTCCAACGCATTATTAAAAACTGGAAGGATAGTGGGGACC